ATTCATGTTTGATTTTTTCTCCATCTAATTTGCTTATTGTAATTATTGTGTACAGATTGTATAGAATATACCTACAGATTGCCTTTCCTATTTAAAAAAAAATGAAGATTTTTATAAGAATAAAATATTTAAGATTACAAGTTACCATTTTTTAACTGTATAATACCTACGGCGGCGAATACATAAAAACACTACTGCAGCAGTGGTAGTATAGTTCGTTATATTCCGATTAAAGCGACTAATTACCAAGCTATAGTCAATTTTAAATCACTACGGTGAGTAAATCACGTTCGTATTGAGTCGTCGGGTTTGCAGATTGCCGACGTGTATATTTATTAGTCGTACGAAATCACGTTAGGAATTTAAAATTGAATCCTTAATGTATATATCGCGAGAATTCCAACTATGTCCGTATTCCAGTATAATTTAATTGAACGAGAAATTGTTTGCAAAACTCGATGCTTTTAGTTTTCCATTACCTTGCCTATAATAATGTATATGTATATATATTGGTGCGATAAACTATAATACGCCCGCATAAATTGCCTAGCTCGTGTAGGTATAGGCACATTAAAAATGTAATGATGAAAAAATGTTATTTCGGAGCGCGTTTTACGGAGATAAGCTGCGCCGACTAAAAACGAAGAGAAACGATTTCAAATACACCTATAATAAATTAGAAACACGGTAAATAATAATGAATAACACCTCGCTTAGGTGTACCTTTGCACCTGTACGGTGTGCAATACTGCGCACATAATATCATTGTGTATTATAAATAATATTTCTAAAGACGCGCGAACGATTAACATAAAATATTATATTATGTAAAAACATAACAATATTTTTTCGTTTTTATGCTCTCGTTTCGCTCTCGCAAAACGATAAAAACAAATGGGTAATATAATATAAAAATAAATAGACGTTACGCCATGGTGGGTATACTCACTCTGAACGTGTATTCAAAACGTTTGAACGAATGAATTTTTTTACAAAACAATAGTTCAAACAATATATTTTTATAAATCGAATGTTTCTATATACATTATATTCTGCACACGTGCACTGCAAATATTTTAGGTTACAGTTGTGATACTATCTACGGGGCTGCATTGTGTATTTGTATGTATGTGTGTGTGTGTGTGTGTGTGTGTGTGTGTGTGTGTGTGTGTGTGTGTCTGTGTGTGTGTGTGTGTGTGTGTGTGTGTGTGTGTGTGTGTGTGTGTGTGTGTGTGTGTGTGTGTGTGTGTGTGTGTGTGTGTGTGTGTGTGTGTGTTTGTGTGGAAAAGTGGAAAAAAGGCACAAAACAGTAACACTATCGAGTCTGATTAAATGTATTGTATAGCTATAGAGTCCGTTGTAGGATACAATAACAATAATTACACTGACGTTGTACAGATGGAATGGAGCGATAGACGCGACCGTCTTGTAGTTATTTTAATCGAATTTCGAGACGTACATATATATGTTATTATACCGAGTGCACTTAAATGCAAACAAATAATTAACAGTAAATACATTTTATAGGTGACCCACTTGAGCAAATGTATAGTGCGGCTTCGTATCGAAAACGATGGTAATTGGAAATTTACACTTCACGTGCTCGCTTTATTTAATTGGGGTGGGAGGGGGGTGTTTTTAAATCGACGAGATCGATGATGGTAACATTATTATCGTCAGCGTTTTCATATTATAATTATAGACGACGTCTGAGGTAGGTTAATGTTATTACCATTGATGGTACACCATTATAATTACCTGCCGTGACCCACTGCGGTATAATAATATAAATACGCGGGCGGGGTCGTTGTTTTTGAATTTCTTCATTTGATTTAGTGGCTGGCGAGAATCCCGGAAAAACCAGCAGTTCGGTTCATTAACGCCGCCGTCGAACCATTAATACGGTCTGGCCGAACGTGCACCGAACCCATAACGCAGTAAAACCACCCCATTAAATGTCACGAATTTTATTTCTGCACCGGTACCCGAAACCCAGCACGGGTAAGTCTTGGATTTTCCGTAATTAGGAGGAGGATAAAATAATATAACGTCCGGTCAGCAGTTCCCGCGGTGTGATGTGGGTTGTAGTGGGGGTATTAAAATGCTGTTTAGAAACCTGACTTTGGTGTGGTAACGGTGAAAATATTACAAAACCCAAAAAAATCTTCGATATTCTGTCGAAAATTTCAATCGTTGTAGCTCGCTGCATTTTTAGAAACACATTTGTTTAAACAACATACACACTACATTTTTTTTTTACCGAGAAATCCCTTAAGACCTGACTACTTGAAGTGCATTCGATGTTTTCGATTTAAAAACTAAATAATAATATTGCCGTGTGATACTTTTTACCGCCCGAAAAGCTGTGCGTTTCAATAAATTGAAAATCGTGTAGTTCATAATACGTTTGAAATTATTATGCACTTGTATTGTGTTAATTTTAAATTTGTTGTTTTAAATACGGTTGGACCGAACGTGCACCAAAACCACCCCATTAAATGTCGCAAATTTTATTTCTGCACCGGTGCCCAGCAAGGGTAAATATAGGATTTTCCGTAATTAGGAGGAGAGTAAAATAATATAACGTCCGGTCAGCAGTTCCTGCAGCAGTGTGATGTGGGTTGTAGTGGGGTATTAAAATACCGTTTGGAAATCCGATTGTGGCGTTGTAACAGCGAAAATATTACAAAACCTTCTATCGAAAAATCTTCGATATTTTGTCGAAAATTTCAACCGATAACCCCTTGCTCCATTTTTAGAAACACATTTGTTTAAACTACATACGCACTACATTTTTTTACTGAAAAATCCCTTAAGACCTGACTATACTTGAAGTGCATTCGATGTTTTCAATTTAAAATCTAAATAATAATATGGCCGTGTGAAACTTTTTACCATCCGAAAAGCTGTGTGTTTCAATAAATTGAAAAACGTGTAGTTCATAATACGTCTGAAATTATTATGCACTTGTTTTGTGTTAATTTTAAATTTGTCGTCATTGGGTAGAGCCACATTGTTTTCGAGTCTTAACCACAATATTATTAAAAATAGATTCTATTGTGGGTTGCAGCTGTGTGAGGTTTTTTTTTATAAACTTTTTTTTTCGCTATTTATTCACGTTATTTCGTTAATTAACTAACCAAGGCTGTTCAAGTTTAGAACGTTAATTAACGACTTTAATTAAAATAACTGAACTAAATCTATTTAAATAGTGTCCTTTTTGAATACACGATGGTCATAAGCACGTTGATCACAGAAAATTACGTGTCGGTCTACACTATGGTAAAATATAATTTATAGATGAACTTCCGATTATTCCATTATTTTTTGAAGTCCGTTTATTCAATGAAAATTACTGTGACATAATCAATACGTAACGCGCCATTTTGTCCATCAATAACACAGAGAATTAAATACAATTAACGTTATTTCGTTGACATGTAATATTTTACACATTGTGTAAATTTGAGTTAAAACGTACAGTTCTAAAATATAATACAATTATTCAGCAACTGTAATGAATCAGTTCCACGAAAAAAATGTAAATTTTAATATATTAATAATCATAAGTTTATACAGCATCATGGTCAACACTCATCAATTCTGTATTGTTGAATGTTGATCAATAAAATAAAACAGTGTACTGTGTATTATACGATATTATATTATTCGATTAATAAATTTATTCAGAATAATATATTATTATTACAAAAACAAAATATTTTTTTTTCGATTATATACAGAAATGGTTCTAAAAGTTCAAACATTTTTTTTTTGCGGAAAGTCTGTCAGTTAAATAATGAAAAAATAATTAATTCCGACAAAAATCGATGCGATCCAGTGCACTGGTATGCCTTTGATCAGACAGTTAAGCATTTAAATGTAATACCTTTTATAGATTTATTAAACAGCCCGTTGGCGTACTCTAAACCAAAAGCTTGAAAATACATTCAAATAATATTAATAGTTATATAATAATTAATAATATACAAAGAGTGCAATACTGCACGTGATGTACCCGGTACCAGTATTGTGCATCTGTTTTGCCTATACACTACGCCGTGTAACCCGTTTTTAATATTGTTTCCTTTTTTTGATCTTACTTTTGAATTATTTATATTCGATTATGAAAACTTTTTAAGCCAGTCGCATTATATCCATACACTGATACTTTTTAACTTTCAAATCAATAAAAGCAAACTTTTAGAAAACAAAATAAGATTTAACCTCGTAATAACTGAATAGTGTTATTATTTTATTTAGTTTTACATATTTTCAATGAGTATTTTGTAACTCCTTGGATAGGAATTCCAATACCAAAAGGTATAAGACTATAAGGACAAACAAAAGTGGGCAAGTTAGTGAAAATAATTAACACAAGTGAATTTTGTTAAGTCAACGTAAAGTCATAAGTAAATATGAAGAAAAATATTAACTTAACGTCATAACTTATTTTGTGTAGTTTGTGGGTTGTTCGACTTTCAAATGTATTAAATAATAGCTAAACATTTTATGCAAAATTCATTCTACAATATTCACACAGCACACCTTAGTACTTTAAATACATGGAATCACACGTTTGTGTAAACTTGGCTTTTTATAGATATGGATGTGTTTTTTTTTAAATTCTAAGTCATTGTGGTAAAACTATAAAATTAATAATTAAACTATAGATAATATATTGTTTAAACTTGATTTTAACGACCTAGTTAATGCTCACCTTTGACGATGACATCATTACTGAATAATAGGGCTCGGATTTTAATGGCATAAAAAATGTACTAAAAGTAATTTAATCATCCAATTTAGGTATTACGCTACACAAGTACTATTATTGCTTAAAACATATTTTGTAAAATAAAATGGGTTACCCCACGTGTTGAATGGATGGAATTGACATCTGTATCTATAATCGACAGGTGGTAAATAATAATTAATGAAACGGTTTGTGTTGTACAATTGTGTCGCAGTGCGTGATATGCGTCAACTCGAAGGCGACGATGCAGACTTGGCCGTGCGGTCACCGGGTGGTGTGCCGCAAGTGTCTGGTACGCACCATCCAGATAGCCGTGTCCCGGCGGTCGTTGCCGTTGCGGTGCGTCGTGTGCCGCGCCCGGGTGTTGCGCCTCAAGCGGTCGTCGGACTCGCGGGCCACGTCCACGGTGGCCGCAGCGGCGTCGTCGGAGAGCGGCCGGGACGGGTCCACCGCGGCCGGCCGGTCGCACAGCTTGCCGACGAAACTGAGGCGGCACGCGACAGCCGCCGTAGCCGTCCGGTCGCGGTCGGTGGGCACCGGCAAGACGGGCCCCGTGCGACGGACGACAAGTGGCGGCGGTCACAGTGGCGGCGGACGGCGGTACAACTTTGCCGGTTGGGCCGACGCGTTCGCCACTGACGATGACGACGACGACGACGAAGACTACGACGACGGCAGTGGCGTTGGCGGTGGTGGTCACGACCAACTGCACTCCACTTCCGTTAAATACAGGTACTATAATGAAATTCCTGGTTGCAAAAGACATTTTAGTGAATCAATAGTGAGCTAATGGACCCTTAAACAAGATCGTGTGGCCCACGATTGGTCCATTAAATGTTTAGTGAACCATTATATATTTAATAAATTGTTTATGCAACCCAGCGATATACTAGGCTGCATTGTGACATAAACTGCAAGCTATCAAAAAAAAAAAAAAAAATGAAAAATACTTGTCATTTCCGCTCTTAATTAGTAGGACATAAGCGTCAAAGATATCAAAAAAATAATTGTCATTTGCGCCATAGTTAGTAGGGACAAAAGCGCCAAAGGTAACAAAAAAAAAAAAAATAGGTAAGTACTTGTCATTTGTGTCATAATTAGACGTAGGAATAAGTGCGAAATACGATGTACAAAATTCGCACCAGTACAATAATTGGTTTATTTATACGTTTCATAATCGTGCGATTCGTCATTTAAGGTAGAATTTTAAGACCGACCTTTTACGTCTGCAGCTGTATACTTACGAAGGTTTTAAGTAGTTGAAAGGATTACCTAAATATTTTGTTTATAAACATTTTGCTATGGATTTAACTGTTTTATTTTCATTACTTAAATCTATGCTGTTTATTGAAATCAAAAGCGGAAATAATCCGTTTTGGTCGTTAATAAACGTTTTGATGTTTTGTGAGCGTTTAAATTTGTCTTTATATTTCTACTAGAGATCGAATTTCACACATTTTTTAATTTATTTTCAAATCGCAAAAAAAAAATCAATTCAAATATTCTAATATTCAACTTTTAAACTTTTTAGAGAATTTAAAACCGAAAAAAATTAAAATTAGGAGGAGGGAGAGTCGATCACTCGTAGACTTATTAATCAACTTGTCACATAAAAATGATAAATTAAAATCAATTTATAGAATATATATCGCATAATTATATAAACCAGTATACTCGTTCAAAATTAGTCTGGTTTATATTATCATGTTCGAAATGTCAAAGAATGTCTGTCACGATAAATTCCGAACGCATATTATTATACACTGCACTATTATAATTTTGATATACTCGTCACACTGACCAACTAATGCGAATAAGACATCAAAATTCATATTCGAGACTACAATGGCCACGACAGCTTTCGATCCTCGTCGACGACAAAATAATAATAATAATTTAACGAAAAATTCCAAATTAAGAAGCTTATTGTTAAAAGTAAAATATGTTTGATTCTCCTAACTCCTGCAAATCTTAATGTAGATACGATCGAGTGATCTCGATTTTCTACATCATAATAACGTTTCTCACGACTATAGTGATTTCGGTGTCATCGAGCATTGCATCACGGAGTTTGGTGCTCCATACCATACCACATGGTTACCGTTACGTTAATGATAATACAGGGAAGAATTTTTAATTTTGTGACGTGCTGTATAGGATAATCTTACGGGAGTCCATATCATCTTCTTTTTCTGTCCATCATGCCCAAACAAAATGACGTGAAACTTTTTTTAATCTTTATCGATATTTCCTGTCCACCGAAACACGACCGCGACATTGTCGTATATATACAGGTAATAACTAATAATATTGTATTATATCGAAAATATAATAATATGATTTTGTTCCGCCGAATAACTTTCATTATATTATAGCATAATAATATAATATGCATAAACCGGGCGGTATTGTGTTGTCATATTATATATATAGCGTTATATTGCATTATCGTATCGTTTTTTGGCACCCAAGTCCCTGGGGGCAAATGTCCGCCGTCCGGATTTTCCGATACTTTATTTCGTCCGATTTCTACGAAAAACCGTTATTCCGACCTGACGGCCTCGATAACATACTCGTCCGCTGTAGACAACATGACGTGCGTGGGTGGGATCATAATTATAATATTTTATAATTATAGATGGCGTGCGGTCTTACGGGTGCAGGTCCGCCCGTGGCCGCACGCCGCGCCGTTTGATCTACAGAGTGTAAAAATAATTACTCAATGGTTCGATCTCACGATCACGATCTATATCAGTGAGCGTTAATGCGGTATTCCACGACTTCTGCAGCCGTGTGAAACGACACGCCCCGAACGGTCAGTTCGCGTTATCGATACCACATCATACCACTACAGCGGTTACCGTTAAGTCAAAAAATTCCAACTCCGTCGACGTGTGCCGGAGATTCGTTTCTATACAGCTGTAACTGCCGACTGTTTCCCCTTAAAATTATGACAGTTTAGAAAATAAAAAAAAAATACCCTACACATCTCGTAGTGCAGAGTCTTATTTCACTCTTCAACTTAAGATAACATACTCTTACGTTACAATCTCTTTTGTTGCAAATCGCTCGTAACCTTTTTAGTGACAATGTCCGATTATGAACCTACGGTTACGACTGCAGATTACCACCTACAAAAATTATTACCTCTCCTAAACTAAACCTAATTAAAATATAATATCAACCAGCAGTTGACGAGAACGAAGATTCGATATTATCTTTACGTTTTGTGTTTTACATGTTCACTGTACATTTCCAGTCATCTCTAACAAATCTCCACGCAGTTACAGCGTTTATCAATATATTATACCCAGTGCAAAACGATGACCGTGACCAATATCAAACATACGACAATAATAATATAGCAAAACTAAAAATTAGATTACTAAAACAGCACGAAACACAACGTAGTTGTATGCGACACGGGTATAGCGCTTTTGTGCTGCACTGCAGGGGTTGTTGGCGATTATCATACATTAATATTATAGTGTTTCTAAGGCAATCCGAACGCTTTTAAAACAAATGTCCAAGTTCCGCAGAGAAAAAAAAATTGCAAATAATAGTCGATCGGGGTTTATTTTTCGTATTAAAACCTCAAATTTACGGTGTCGAAATATTATGCAATCGAATAGAAAAAAAAATTGCCTGCGTGTGAACCAAAGATATAATTATTTGCGTCCTTTTCTCATGTGGATAGACGAAAATAAGGTGGGGGGAGGCTTTAGAGGCCAAGAATTCAAAAGCCCCTCCCCCCACCAAACATTTCCTAAATCTGTTTGAGATTATTCGATATTATTTTAGTAGAGCTTCAGCCCCCCCCCCCTTAAACTCAAAAACTTTTTGCGCCTATGCTCATGCGTGCGTTTTATTATTTTTGCATGGTGCAGCAAACTGGAAACGACGGCGGACAGGACGAGACACGACAATCAATCGAAAAACGGTCTGCAGAGGATACTCGGTAAATTCAAATTCTGGAGGTTTTTACGCTTTAAAAATAATAACAAACCGTAGTTCGATCACCATACGATTTATATTATTATCATTTTTTTTTTGTGGGTAGGTATTATTATTATTATTATTATTATTATATAGTTACGACCACGTAGAGCGCACTGTGTTTTCTATAATTGAGACGGGGTGTTTGTAACCGGTGTTGGTAACCGATGACTTAAATTATACTATAAATATTTTATCATGTACATACCTACATAATATTATTAATAAATATAATAATATTGTGTTTAAACCGTTTGATTTCGATAAGCTCCATCGTATTTTTTCCCCGTCCGGAAATCGCAACGGCCGACGACGATGAGCTCATATATTATTATAATGTTATCATCATCACGGTGATAATGTGTAACGAAAGACACATCCGGTTTCATATTTTTTTCCACATCAACAACAATATAATAGTATACAGTACATTTTAATTTTAATTTTAATATAAATAATAACATATAGTATAATAGGTAGTAAGTATTAATGAGCTCTCGCGTAGTTCGGTCTCTCGATAGGTACATCAGTTAAACTTTCCTGAAACAGACAGAACATAAATAAACACGGAGTGTGAATTAAATTATTTATTCAAATATTCATGACGCCGAAAAGCGCGGTGTACAACTCACAACACGAATGTTAAAAATATTTCATTTGACCCATTAAATAACAGAACCCTTAAACACGGTTACATAATATTTTAAACGTTCATTGTTATAATTACTACTACTAATGTCATAGTGTTAAAGAAAATAAAACTATATTTAATGTGTAATATTTTGTAGTGTGTTTGTATACTTAAGGCTTCCACTTTTTTAAACCCCATTTCTGTGATTTATATTTGTATAATATGTGTAATGTGTATGTAGCATATTAATAATATTATAGCAGATCTTGTATCTAAACTATAGATTTAAGGATGTATTTATTCATTCACGAATTAAGTCTGATATAATGTTTGTTTTCTTTGTTAGTCAAACGACCAATTTTATAAAAAAAAAATTAAAAATTAGACGTAAAACTATTGTAATAGAGCCTATAATAATATTATATTGTAACCTATTTTATGTATATTATATATTAATAACATTTTCATTCAAATAAATCTCTTAGTGTTTTATATTTAATTTTGTATTTCTTATTGTAATAATATAAGTCTTATGTTGAGTTGCTATGCGAAAATCGTCAGAGATGATGTGAGATTGGTGAATTTATTCGATATCGATGTCACTATATATTATATTATTGTACTACGAACGAAACAGAATGAAACAGCTTAGGAAGTTTCTTTGAAAATGTACTATACACTTTTTTCATCGATTTGCATTTGCAATGTGATCATTAAAATCAATTCGAGCACTTTTTTTACTTATAATGTCAGTTCCCTCGATCATTAAGTCCTTCAAGTTGAATAAACTTAGCTTGAATGATGTGTTCTCCAACTTGGTATTCGTAGAATATTAATTATCTTGATATCTTACAAGTTTGTTTCCCAATAAATTTGTTGTTTTTTTTTTCTGTAACCGGTAGTTGTGGTATCAGGACAACAGCTGGTAGTTCTTTTTTTTCTGATTTTAATTTCTTTTTGGTATTTTTCATCCTTTTCCTTCAATTTCTTTTCTATCGATTTAAACGAATATTATATCGTTTCCAAACTAGGTCGTCTTCATAATTTTTCTTTTTTGTACCTATTATTTACAGATGTAGATTTTACTTCTTGGATATAACAATGTAGGTTTTCTTTATAGATTCCACTTTATAGTTAGGCACCAATGTACAAAATTAAAAACGATGCATTTTTGTTTTGCACTTTAAAAAATTGCTAACTTAATTTAAAAAGACTACACTAGCATGTGTTGAAATACATAACAAAAACTGTTTTGAGCAAGTAAGAACCATTCAGACTGTGGTCCAAGTCAAGCAATCAAATTTTCACACAAGAAAGAGAAGAATATTGACTATACAACATAGTTTTTAATATAACAAATTTCCCCCCCCCCCCCAAAAAAAAAAGAACATTATTTTAAGCTTTTCAAACCTGAAAAAATAAAAACAACTTCGCACATTGAATGTTCTCCTCTTTATAGTGTGAACATTTGGTTGCTTAGCTTGGACTACATCCTGAGTGGTTCATACCCACGAAAAACAGTTTTTGCTATGTTCTACATTTGTAAGATTGAGACAACACGCGTGGGTGCAGAGTCCTCTTAAACAAACAATATTAAGTACATAAAATATAATATTTTCTTTTAGAATCTGAGTATACCAGTTCATTAGACGTACATTAAAAACAAGAAATCGACGTTAATACATTATAAATTTCAAGAATCACGGTTTATAATACAATATTATTTAGCCGGTATTTACTGTGTAACAGAGGGATTCATCGCCTCGTTAATTGGGGAAGGTGGATCCGACGTCGTGACGAGTGGATTGACATACTTGGCTCACGTTGGGCTGGTGTCGTGGTGGACGGGTTGTAGAGTCGGAAGGCGATCGTAATGGATGGCAATGGACTAATGTCGCAGAGGTTGAGTTGTCGCGTCCAAAGGTGAACGTACTGACTGGCTCACGTCTGTATTTGCATCATGTTTAACAGCGACTGCGGTAAGAATGATGTTATGGCTGATGTCTCATTACAAAGATCAGTCAGTTATTACACAGTTAGTTGATTACAGCTGCCAATTTCTCGTGTTGCATTCTATCTACAATATATACTATATGAGAAAATTGTTCGATAGTATCAAAGCTCACTTGTTCGTTTTTCGACGGCTATAAAAATGAATCGGACTACTAAACGATGTATGACGATAATATTATAATACTCTACACACCGTGTGCAGGATCTTGCAGGATGAGTTTGTGAACAGCCTTCGTTAAACAACAGGTATGTATTGACGTACGATTTAAGCTTTACATGTGTGCTTATATTGTCACTATATGACGAGGATATCGTTTACAGCAAGAACTCTATATACGATGTACCTTTATAATACCTAAATATCGTGGGTTTATAGAAACAAAAGGAAACAAATCGATTTTTTAGGAAAATCTGTTTTTTATATAATATGTCATAATATAATGTGGGATTAGTTGTCGACACCCTTTGATTAAAGCTCATGAACACTTAGACGTATTATTTAAAGAGCCATCGCTAGGAGCTTTTAGAGTATAGTTTAGAAATGAACACGCAATTTACAAATCCATGATTTTTTATAGTGATCTAAATAGAACGGTTGCCTATGTTATAAGTAACTGTATCGGTGGTCTATTCACTAATAACCGAATCTCTAAAATCTCGAACCCTGCAACTGGTTCGTCTATAAGTACGCCCGATCTTACAAACAGTCATATTTCAAATTTAAGTATGTAATGTGATTCAAATATTAACACACGGAAATCACAACTATAGTCTATACACAGAGGTTTTCCCAGTCAAAAATAATGAAGTAGTATAAGTAGTAATATTTGGTATTCGTTTTTTCTCTATTATCGATTTGGAGGACAACCCACCTGCGTTTGTTGTCTCACAATAGAACATGCCAAGTTTGTAGTTCAAATAATACATTTACTATGTAAGTTCTAAAACTTTAGTGAATTGACCGATTAAAAAAATTTAAAGGTAAGATAGTAATCCAGGGCATCTCAGAGGCTTTTATTGATATTTTTATTAAGACGCAAGTTTTAATGTTTTTGAAGCTGTACATTTTTTGTTCCTTTTAAAATAATCATAGATTAGGTAGGTACTTAAAAATAATAATATCGATAAATACTCCGATACCTTCGATCTTACGTTTAAATGTTATCATGGGTCAATTCACTCCAATTTTAAAAGTAACGTAAAAAAATCGATTATTATTTATTTAAAATGTGCTTTGATGTAGGTTTGTAAGACGAAGATATATTTTAAAAGTTTACATTATTTTTTTTTGTTTACGTCAAGTTTTGTTAAATGAGAAACCCCAAATTAAATCATATCGACTTGATCCATTACAACGACTTTTTCAATATATGTTTTTAGATCATTCATTACGAAAGAAGACAAGCGCTCCTATAATAATAAGAATTTAGCAGTTTATAGTTTCAAATGTTGCTCTCCCGGTCAAAAATTAAATTTTCTTTTTCTAAACCAGCATACCGTCTTTTGGTTCTGAGCCCGCGTGATATAACATGTGAGCGTATACCATAATAATTATTAATTTCTACATGATATTTATATTATTATATAGGTACTATATGTTTGCACGCATACACTTCATATTTACGCTTTATGATATAAACATATATACATATAGGTAGTAGATATAATATATGTAAAATACGAATAGACGTAAATTAACCGGGCGCTGAATAAATTTCTAACATCGAGCCGAGTCTAAATAATGCGATCCTCGATCCCACACATAAATACGTATGTATATCGTGTATGTTATTATAATAACAATATAATATATATAATGATATATGCGTAATATCGTGTACACCCGAACCTATATACACATACACATACACCGCTGCCAGTTTTATATAAATTATGCGACCGGCGGCGGACATGCTAGTACCGCACCTACACAGCTACACTATATATAGAATAAGTGCTTAGGTATATATACGACGCATACGTGTGTAGAACTTCGCTCGGACCTAGGGGTTCGGTTATTTTTTTTCAGTTACTACATCATCAAAATACATTCGTATACTATAATGTATAATACAATTATATTAAAATCGCAGACCGTTTTAGGGCGAAGGGTGTAGCTGCAGTATACCACGCGCGTACGTGTTGTACGACGTTAACGTAGATTTAAACGCTCCTTCCCTCCCCACCGGTCGTCTGAGTTCTCGATATATTCATGTCAGTGCACGTGTGTGTGATGTGTATATTCGGACTTATCCGCCTAGTAAAATTTCTCGTCGGCGAAACGACCGAAAATGATTATAATAACATATGTATGTCCGACCACCTGCAACCCCGTCCCTCGGTCGACCCTAGATCCGCACACGCATGGCGCCCTATGACCACCGTTCGATAGAAATTGAGAGAGTATATATATAATATAATATAAAATGCTCGAAGCACGTCCGGTCGACTCACCTCTGTTGCTGACCGGCCGGCACGTTTCGTATCGCCTCCAGTAATTGGTGTTATCGATGGCCGAACAGTCTTCCCGGCCGTTGAAGTGAATCCTCGCGTAATCGTCGCAATCCGTCACTCCGTCTCTGTTGCAGTCCTGCGGCGAGAAAAAAAAATTGATAAGAAAAAATACCGAACCCACCGCCGACGATAACAGAACACAAAAATCGATGGCGATCTCCTAGAGGAGATATACATATCACATAATACATAATATTAACATATTTATAATTTTTTTTTTTTCATTGGTTTTTCGCTCTCGAATTAATCGAAAAAAATATTTTCCTAGGTATTATATTTTTCGATATCAGCCGAAAGCGCTTGTATAGTGATCGATACCGCGTGTAAGTACACCTGCACCGCCACGGTGGAAGATACGCAGCCGCTTTCGACCTTATCACTATATCGTGTCGGAATAATTATTAGGGATCGGAATTCACGGCCACTACAATATAACATATACTTATAATATATACAGTTAGGTATATAATATTATGCACGAACAAGATCTAAAATATGCAAGCAAAAATGTTAAGTGTTATGCAAAGTATTTATTATTTTAATTCGAAAAATAAAGTATGTACCAAATTATAATATGTATTTATTATTATTTAATAACGTTTTTGTACGGTTATAGTATATTACTATGTATCGAGAGTTGTTTTATTAATTAAAAACAAAAAATAAATATCTGATTTGAGAAAACGTGCAGGTTGTTGATATTGGCGAAGTTAATTATTTAACTACAAAAATAATAATATTATCATTATCATTTATCCGTACCTAGGTATTTTATTTTTCGTTATCAGCCGAAAGCGCTTATATAGTGATCGATACCGCGTGTAAGTACACCTGCACAGCCACGGTGGAAGATACGCAAACCGTTTTCGAGAATCAGAATCGTGTAGGAATAATTATTAAGGCTCGGAATTCGCAGCCACTGCAATATAAATGACCTTATAGGTATTTATTATGCACAAACAAAATCTAAAATATGCAAGCAAAAATGTTGAGTATTTTGCAAAATATATTTTATTTTTTTAATTCGAAAAAAAAAGTATGTACCAAATATATTTATGAACGTTTTTGTACGGTTATAGTATATTACTATACATAGAGAGTTGTTTCATTAATTAAAAATTAAAAATAAATATTTGATGTGAGAAAAACTACAGGTTGTCGGTATCGGCGAAGTTTAACTGCAAACATGATATGATTATATGTACCTACATAAATAGTATTAATAAATTAATATTTTTAATATTTTTTAAGTTGTATAATACTAAGTTGTACCTAAAGTGAAGTCATAAAATAAACACTGCAATTTTTTATTGAAAATATTGAGAAGGTATGCATACAGATATTATGTGCTTTTTTCACAAAATGGAAGAAAATACATTTTTATTTTTTTAAATTGGCAAAATATGCAAAATATGCATTTTACATTTTCGATTTTGAATATCGTCATTATATAGAATTCATATTTTCTAGCTTGGTCTGCTATAAAAATCGAGAGCATACTATAGAAAAATATGCAACATCTACAACTTCCGTGCCACAGTATAATAATTGTTACAACCACGACGATAAAATATATCGGACGCCTTATATGGAGATGCGGACTAGTTGTAGACTTATAGGTTAGGTCAGAAATACTAGATGTGTCTTAAACAAAATTATATTTTAGGTTCAGTGTGCCGATTAGCGCCACTTAAATTTTTATGGTCAGTATACCTGCAATTGCGCTTCTTTTATTTTACAGCCAGTAAAACAAAAGCGGTTACATTTTAGTTTTACTTGTTCAGGTATATGAAAAATATATTTTTGTCCAATCTAATATGGAATTATATACCGCCAACATTTAATGTATTATCATCAATCATCATACATCTTACATAAACTATGTACCTATATATTTAAATATTAATTGATTATTATTATTATAATAGTCAAAGTATTACTGAACGAACTAGTTAAATATTTTTTGTTTTCGAAAAAAAAATAGTTTTGCATTTAACGTTATTACCAGTGTAATTGCTATCACCATTGATCTCTTAACTCTGATTAAATAACCGATCACGATAAGAAAAGCAAATTTTAAGGACAATATTGGTAAACTACGTTATCAAAAAGAATTTGACCGTCGAAATCGACCGATTTCGTGGAATTCGATCCAAAATTGGATCCCTGAAACCAATCTGCTCCAAGTCACGTATTTCTCTAAAGGTATAGGTAAAATAAGTTTAATAATAATGATACGTGCAGAGACGTAGATGCACGTCAGACTCTGCAAGCTGTCCAAACGACATTTCCACATTATTGGTCATCTCGGAGTGTGTATAATTCATTATTATTATTATTATTACCATCATCAGACGAATTCGATTTAATAATACAGCAGCCGATGTTAATATTTGCCATGACACAATATAATAACAGGGTACGTCGGCGAAGATCTTAGGTCGTTATTACGTTTTCAACGAATTCGATAAAAATAGATACCACCTGTACTACCTACCTATATTTTAATATATTATTCTGTGCTACCTAAATGCATTTCAAATGTGACTTCGTTGGCGTGACGTCAACCGAAACTCCGCTCATGCGCATGGGTCTGCTCGTCGTCATGTGTATAATATTATATATTTATATTATTATAATATTATAATTTATAATAAATTCCAGGTGGCGGAAACAATCACTATATAAATATTCAATGAATCAGTACCGAGCTACTCTGCTAATGGTCTCTTAACAATCACTCGGTGGCCCATGATAGGTTCATTAAATTTTAGCGAACCATTAAATTAATTAATTTTATCATGCGACTCTTGCAACTTAGAATTATTATAGTAGAATAGATCTGTATATTATTAAATGTGTATACGTATCATCGACGATCTAGTATTATAATATTAAAACGATATCAAAATGCTGGCACACAGCAAATTCGTCCTACATTGAAGGAAATCAGTGGCGAGTTTAAGGGTGGTCGGAACAGAGGGCCGGTACCTCCACCATAATTAGCCAAAAGCCTTTAGGTTAAGAGGAAGTTTCACCCGCATTTGTTATCTCCGTCTTACACACGTACGGCATACCGAGAAAGCTACAGTCATAACTCATAACTAAGAAACGACATTTTCACCACATATAAAGGAGATCTTTGGCTGTGCAATATCGTTTTTAGATTTTTGATATCACTTATACGAAAAAAGTTCTTATTGTTTCAAAATCCATTATTATTTGTGTTTTTTAAACTTTAATAACTTTTTTTGAAGTTCCGATAACGAAAAAATAAAAACGATATTGCACGGCCAAAGTTCTCCTTTTTTATATGGTGAAAATTTCACAAATAATCGTTATATAATAAAGAGACCTGTGTATTATAAAATGAACTTGAATTTAGCTCAAAGTGTGCTTAAGATCAAACAGGCCTCTTTTTTGAATTTCACTCCCAAGTTTCCGAAAATTTGTTTAAAAATTAAAAACTGAAACTAGATTGAAAAAGGGTCCTGATCCATCCCGTGAACACTTTACGCTGAATAGTTATAACAATGGTAATATTTATTGTCTCACTTTATCGATCGTACTGTAGGACGCTAAATGGGTAGTTTTTACTATTATACGTATGTTGCACGCGTGTGAAAGACCTGTGAGAGACAACAAAAATCGGCAGATATCCAATTGCATTATGAGTGTATTAGGTTTCTGTTATAACAATATGTAACAATTAATATAGACGGTTATTTAATATTTTGTAGGTCAATGTTCAATTATTTCGAAAAGTATAAACGTTTTTGGAAATATAATTTTTTATACGTAATTTGAAGTCATTACAAAACAAAGTTTTTGAAAACAAATTTTTATTTTAACTATATTTTATCGTTGTTGTTTTAACAGGTTTTTTTAACTACAGCTTGGGTAGGTATATTATATTTGTTTAATGTCGTATTCCGAAACAGTATATTTTTCTGAGAATTTCGATGAATATAAAAATGGAATTTTGAACGAGTATTATACATTTATACCTACCCCGCTATAGTTAATTACAATATATTATGTACGAGTATTTAAAGTTTTGACGAGCGGAGCTGCATAATATAATATCGTAATAGAGGACAACAAATTTTGTGGGGGTACCTACCTATAATACCTAACTCGCGCTTGTTATATTATATTCCCCCATATTATATTCCGGGTAAGTAGAGTGGGTTTATCGACGACTCGTGCTGTTTTTTTTTTACAGTTATTAATCGTGCTCGACAATGTTTTTATAAAAAAAAAAAAATAGATTAATAAAACTTGTTTTGAATTATTCACACGTTCAATGCGCGGCATTATACTCGTCACCAACGTCACACCGCACAATAGACTCGCGAGGGCACAAAACCGTTACTACTTGAATAATTTATCCGAGTGCGAAACATAATATATAATTTTTAAAGGGCGAAAAATGTCCATTTTGTTTGTGGGTTTATCGCACATTTTTGTAATCCCACATAATGCGCTTGTCCGAGTGCATTCGCCACGTGCACGTGTATAAACGTCATATATATATATATATTGTATAATGACGCTCAGAGACGTTATTTTAGCATAATATTATCATTAGGTAGTTAATATTATAATAAGTGCTGCAGTAATATCACAATATAATAATTATCGTCCAAGAAAGTACTAATATATTGTATAGCATTACTATGATAGGTAAAAACAAACTCGTCCGCGATCGTCACCGTTATATCGAGACATTAACGATAATAATATATTAATAATTAGTCTACCTATACTTGTGCAATCATTAATCTGGTCGATATCGGTCGTTACTGTATAGTGTTATTTTATTATATCATTGGCATTATGATACAAAATCGCATCATATACTTTGTCGAATTATCGTCAATAATAATATTACAACGGCGCGGCGTGTCGGCGTCATACTGCAGCGAACGATTTTGTACAATATTATATTATTATGTCGTTTTCAACGTATACGTCGAAATAATAAACAAATTTTTTTTAACGATTGCGAAACTGCTTCAATAACATGTACAATACAAAATGTCTGCCCAACCGACAATTTTCTCGAGTAATCGGATATTATGATTGTCGGTTAATGAATAAGGCACTTGTGCATTAGCCTTATAATGTCATATATATATATATTATTATATACCTACTGCAGGGTTATTCGAAATGAATCATCCGATGCTCTGAGCACAACTTCCAAGTGGTCACCTGATCTTACGACTATGCTTATTTTGGGGATATATTGCATTTAAGATATTATACTTTGTGTACGTTTCAAAATATTATGGTCTGCGACGACGATAAAACCACGAGAGCTAAAAAAATTTGCAAAACTAAATTATAACGGATAATGGAATGAATTTGAGTTCAGACTAGACGTTGTTAGTATGAAAAATGGAAGCCACACAGAAAGTGTTTTATATGTGTCATCGATTAAAAATAAAATACTATTATTTTATTTAATGTAAGTACCACATAACTCCAAATTTAAAAACTAAAAATATACATTCATTGTAAAACGATAAATCATTTTGAATAACAACTACGTGATTTATTAAGCGTATATTTAGCTGTGTTGAACACGACGGCGATGCACACAAAATTATTATTTTAAAATTGGACGGACAAAACAAAAAAAGGCCGCGGGTCACAGATGACTTCCGAGTCCCAATAATAATAATAATGATATTCGTATCGACTATATTGTATTGGTATACATTAGGTATACCTAATGTACCTAATATCGCGGGTGAATAATTTATGAGTTTCGTTGAAAACCCATCGCCGCGTACACCATAATAGTACCTATATAATGTATCTACACGCACAGTCATCAATAATAATAATAATAATTATGTATAATATCGGATTTTAATATCGCGATTTGACGACTAATGTTTGCGTTAGGTATATTCTTGTTGGCTAAACCTGCAGCACATCAAGGACACCGATCCCCGCTCATCGATCGAGTATTGTGTAACTAAACTTGTGTGCAGCGTTGTAAAAAAAAAACACTTTCAAAAAGTATATACAATGCAATTTGAATGCAAAAGCACTTGAAATTTTATTTCTATTTTTTTTTCATTGAGTAAACATATGTATACTGTAAGTACCTACGTACCTATATATACCAAATCATACCGTTGCGGTATCAATATTATATTATATTATATCGTAACAGAATGTAGCAAAATCTGCAATATTTTTTTAAAAGCTATTAAATTCATCCTAGTACTATTATAGTATACGTACGTAGGTAAGGTAGGTAGGTAGGTTTGTAATTTACTCTATCGAGGACCGCTCGTTGGCTCTAAACAAAGAAACTATTCTTATAACGAACACTAACTCTTTGTTCGTAGGTGGCTTGCATCCTATGTATGTGACACGATGTACCCTGAAGAATGCGATTCACGTTGTATAACCAATAGTCATGATTAAAGCACCGATATTTATGCACTTAATATATCACAAAATGCAACATGATATATTATGTGCAGTTGAAATTGTGAAAATATTCAACGACATTTCTGAACAATAGGCCATATTTTGCATAATTCAATCTTTTATTTGATGGTTATTATTAATTTGTTAGGTATAAAAATTTAAATTTTAAATACATTTAACAGCTAAAATATATTATTAGATACTAAATTCAAAACAAATAATATTTTTAGTACAACTGCTTGGCGAGATTATGAACAAGGAAATCCACTTCCTGGTTAAAACGATAAAATTGTTATTACATAATTTACCAAAAAACGATAGGTTTATAGTAGTCAGCGACATTTATTATCAGAATTTTCTACTCGACAAAATGTTATTTTGCACACCTTTGTTAGATTTATCAAAGCGTATATTATTTAACTTCACTCCGATATGAAATAATTATCATAATATATGGGGAAATGCACAAAAAAAATTTTGGTATGCAGAGCTCAAAACTGTTACAATTTAAACATAAATATACAATTACATAAAAATCCGGGATTTAGTTAATACGATAATATAGGTAATTTAATACGAGGTGATTATACTGGTTATTGATTAATGAGAGGGGTGTGTGGGTAGCAAATGTTAAAAACAATACTAGACTCAACAAAATGTTTTCAAAAAAAAACTATAAACCAATTCGGTACCGAAACATTGTTTACCGACTGCTGTTAGTAACTATACCAATAACCAGATACTATTGTTATGGGGTGCGCTGAAGTCGCGATAATAATATTATTATAATATCGCGTCCCCGAGAGACAATTAAATCGTCGACGCTGCATAATAATAATATATTATTATTATGAATACTATAAATTTATTGTTGCCGCAACACTCGCTTTGTACGTATATATGCGTGACGGCCTGCGACGAGTGTGTTTCGTGTGACGTTTATTATGTATATTTATACGACGCTGAGCGTGTTTGAACGTTTTCGATCATTTCCAACCCCCGACGGCACACAGTTGGTGTATTTTATTATGCACCCGTCGTCACAGCCCTCGCCGCGGCCAATAATGTATACCTAATAACAATAATAGAATCGTTATCGTCGTGATTAACGGTGGCGTTTCTGCCAACGACCGGACAAAGCGTTTCCTACGAGGACGTCGCCAGCGGAACGCTCGCCACCCACCACCCACACCAAAACAACGAACTTCGGTGATGTCGTTCTCGAGGTTAACAATAATAATTATTATACAACGGTCAACGATGTAATAACGACGACGGCGGCTCGCGCTTCCTTCCGGCCCTCCGCCGCCGCCGCCGCTTAAATACCCAAATAATATTATTACTCGGCTGCAGCGAGGTAGCCACAGGATTCAGCTTTGAGGGTGGAGGGCTGATCGTTTGTTATATTTAGAGGAGATTTAACTAGGGAATCCAAGTTTGGTATGTTATATTATAAAATGCGTGGGGAAATAACGCTTTAGACTTTTCAGGCAACCTTCTTACAATTAATTACGATTTATTATTAATAGCTAGACGCACGAGGTAAGTATCAAGTCTTACGCGTTCACAGCACAGATACTGAAAACGTTTAAACAATTATTTTCCCGACATTTCGAGGTGAGTGCATAGACTATAGATGGACGCAGTCTTATGGTATATTTTTCTAACAACGTCAGCCCCCGGGCTTCTTGTCCTCTCACTGTCTCTGCCATTAGTCCATTTATACATCTAAAGGTCTGCAGTAGGCACTTACCCGTCCCCATTTGACCATGTAGTTCTCGACGACCTTTTGTGAGCATTCCATGTTCGAAGCACAGTCAACGAACGCCTGGTCCCGGTCCGGGTCGTCGTCACCCACCACCAACTGGCCGGCGTCCTTCCAGTAATCGCGGTACAGGTAGTAAGGACCACAGTAACCGCGCGAGCACCCCACGGTCATGTTGCACAGGGTGGACGCGTAACACAGGCACCGCATGCAGTTTCCGTTCAGGTTGGACACGTGCCGGCCTGCAACAACGACATGTACATGTAATTCCATATACGATTTAAAATTAATTTGGTAACCTTTTATATTCTGATACCTATTTAGGAAAGCATGAATAAATACCAAATACCGATACTCATGCTTTGATGTTTTTAAATATTGGCTAGTCAGAATTTATTTTGAATAGAACTGTTATACACTTATTTATTTAACTGTAGTATTAAAATCTTCGATTTAAACCTATTTCTGTTTTTTTTAGATTCTGAGAGAAGCGAGGAAGCTAGTGGTTTTACAATGGTGTTTATTTATTTTTTTATATCCTGTATACAAAATTACTACCAGAAGGAGTGCTTCGATTTCAACAAATAGTACTTTATCTTTTAGCAAATTGGATCAAGATGGTACTTTAAAGAGGTCATTTTTGATTTATCAATAGTTATTTAACCACCGAAAAATTACGAAAAGAAGCCGCTAAAAATAGGATTTTAGCTTTTACACTTCGTTTATCAAAATAGAAACGAATAAAAAATAATAATATTATAATATTAATTCAACTTAGGTACATGATATAATAAATAATAACTATAAAATATACAGATTACAGACTGACAAACCGTCTCCGCTCGGAATCATTTTTCTTATACCATGATATTATATCATTGAATTCAAGTTTAATACAATCCAGTTATACAATGACCCACTTGTAACCTACTGTACAGCAGAGCGACATCCACTTACCAGGTTTTTTTTTTAATACTTTAATAGTAAAATGAAAAAAATTATATCATTAATCGTAATAATTATATAATATAATTATACTGGTAACTAACGGATGGACGGATACAACGGGGATATAAGGTGTTCTAAACTTATTTTTGGAAACCTAAAACGAAGTGAGGGGAATAATCATCGATCCGACTATCGCATAATATAATATAGTATTATTATACGCTACCGTGACGTGTGATGATAACTCACCTCTGACATCTTAAAATCCAATCACGAAAAACGCAGCACCATATATACCCATTAATTTATCGTCTCTATATAATATTATAGTCTGTGTTCGGAATATTACGTCGGAAAAATATTATTATGGCGTGCACCGGCGGGGCTTAATGACGGAACGACGTAGGTATAGTCTGAAAAATAATCACAAAACGTTTTCCGCGTATTTCTGAAAAATTAAACGGCATGTACCTGTCGTGATGATTTTACTGTACACGTTTAATTACTTTGTTATGAAGCACGGAGTCGTACGTCAGTGGTTTTTTTTTTTTTTTTTAAGCAATTTTGCGAATAATTTCGATTACACGTTGTCGGCTTTACACATAGTGACCGGGTATAAAAATCTAAAAAATAGATTTACATGTCAGTTCTTCTATTTTACACATAATATTTGGTATCCTTGAAAAACGTACAATATTGTAGGTATATGTGGTACATAGTTCGTTCATGTCATGGTAGAAAATATGTGGTACTATAATGTACTATAATATTGTACTGTACTATACACTGTGCTAATAGATATTATTGAAAAATAACCAAAAAATCATAATATAAACTATAGCCTGCGATATTTCTCAAAAATGACCCACTCATTAAAATAGTATTTTTTGAATATTTACAGTATAGTTTAAAAATTGTACAATGATCATCAAAATATTTAACAATATTGCGAAAATGTTTTCAAATTATTTTTGGCAGCAATACAATATTAAAATTGTGTCAAAGTTGTTTATTTCAAATATTAACATATTATTATAATATTATCTTTGTAATAATTTTGAATGAAATCATGTACATATTGTCAAAATATATAATGCATAGGTATATTGTATTCGAGTACAATTTAATATACTTAATACTATTATTAAGGACAATAGGACAATGCAATAAAAAAGTAAATCTGGTCACCGCATCAATAAATCATAGGTTATTGTAACGAGAATTTTTTGGACGTACCGGTAGACGACGCCATTAGCTACCTAATATCACTATGTCATGAATTTATGATGTGCAACGAAAACTTGCATAGTCCCAAAGTACAATTTTTTCCTACCTATTTAGTATTTTATCTCTTATACAGTTATACTTGTCGCGTTCGACTCGAAACTGACAGAACGATATCACTATAAAATAACACGGTACGATGGCAATTTTATGATACGCGTATTACGCTCATTATACCCCACCGACCGGTTCGTCGCTTTTCATTGGTCGTGCCCCGATTAATATAAATATTATAATAATATAGTGTATTACGAGAGGCAAACTGGATACGACAATGTGCGCTAAACCCGACGGTTCGTTGCCTTCGTACCTTGTCGTTTTATCACGATGTGGTACTTGACAGTTTACGTTTACCTAACCTACGGTATCGATAATTCCGCCAACTTACCGGCCGTCGTCGCCATGGACGTCCACGACGCTGTCAGCAGCAGAACAGCGGCGGCGGCGCACGTCAGGAAACGCTGTCCGGACGGGTCGCGCGTCATTGTCGTACTATTTGTTTACGTGGACCGTACACTGCCACTGCGTATCGGCCAATAACGATTTTATAATATTATTATTACAATGATGGTTTACCACTACGACGTAGGTATGGTTTTATGGCAGTATAGCTCGGACCGTGGTCGAACCGGTCAACGCGACGCGTAACCTTAATCTCTCCCGACGGTTTTCGTCGTCGTCTTCGTCGTCGTCGTCGTTATCAGCGAGGACGATAATGGATGCAGCTGAGGCGATAACGGTACTTCAATAAAATTACAACTTCGTGCTGCACTGGCCCCGCCAACAGAAACGCGGCCAATAGTTATTGCAGTGTTACCTCCATAGTCCATCACTACAATTTGTGTTATTTTTTTGCCGGTACACGGTACATAAATACATAATATATTGCACAGGGCGATTCACCAGCTGTTGCAGGCATGCTCCTTTCTTCAATAACGATAAGATTTTCAAATTCGAATAATTCGAATTTTTATCTATATATATATATATATATAACCTAGTTTAAATATTTAGATCTTTATATACCAATAAAGAAGTGACCGACTTTTTTTATTCAAATTCTAGTCATTATTATCTTCGTAAGTTGTAAAGCAGATGACTTTTTTGAAAATGCTAATGTAGGTATCAAAATCAATATTCGAACAGGTAGTTTTTGATTTACTCAACTTTATGTAGGTGCTTAGGAATCTAGGATAATAGGTCCATAACAATAGGTTTGAGGATTTCGAAAGGCATGGATGCTAAGATGAATTGAAAATTATATTAATTGATATAATATGTGTAGTATTATAGGTACCGACTAAACTATTGACATTTTATAATATTTTTTAAAAATCAACTGAGTATAATCTAAGTATTTAAAATTTTTAAAATAGGAGAAATAATATATTGTATAAGTAAAAATTTAAAAAAATTGAATTTCAATAAATTAATAATTAAAGGAAAACGAGTTGGTGAGCATATGCTAAATGCTTAGGGAATCACCATGTACCTACACTACACAATTTGAGTAATCAATACAACGGTGTTCGAAGATTCCTTATTAGGTTCTATTTGGTTACCCATTATCTATAATATAATATAACCTAAACGAGTCCACGTTGGTGACTCTAATAAGTATTGTTGAGACGTTATTCAGGTTGGATAAAATAATGGAATTTTTTTAATTTACGTGTTCGATAACAGAAGTAAGAATTATTCATTACGTGCACTATTGAATTTAGATAACTAAAAAAACATAATACACTTAACCGAACAATAATTTCGTACGATTATGACTTAAAGTAGGTATACGTACCTACCACTATAATATACATAAAGTTACGGTTGGTCGATTTCAATTCTGAAAATATTATAAATACAAAATCAATGATTAAACTGACTTACAATAAAAAAATGTCCAAAACAAATGTAAATTTAAAAAAAAATTCATAGACGTTGTTATTTGACAAAGAACTGGTAACTAACATTTATATTTGAAAATGTGTTATGTAGATACATTTTCATACAGCATCATTGATCTCTATTACCGTCATCTATACAAAATAAGGTATCAGAACACAGATTATACTTTACAAACTAGTTAGTATCAAAAACTCACTGTTTTTTTGTATTGTACATATTTTGGATTTGATGAGCCTCCGCAAAATCGCACTGAGTGTGCATTGTCGTGTGCAGATCGATAAAGCAATATCCACGAACGTGGATTCCTATAATAGCATTTCACCTCTCAGTGGTTCTGCAGAAGTCCGTCACGACTCTCGAAGGTATCTCGGACCTTATATCTGCAGTATATAAAGCTATAAATTTTCATTATACTCAATACATATAGGCACCCAGGTACAAGTGGTAATCGGCGCTGGTAATATATAACCAGTCGTTCTCCCGTCTGCAGACCTTTTTCGTGCCCAAGTGCAGGAATAGTTTACGAGGCATTCGCTGTGTACGACAAGAACAACGAGCCCCGAGTCTTATTGTTCGGCCGACCGCTGCTCGTAAGTTGTGACAATCGTGTGTGTGTGTGTGTGTGTGTGTGTGTGTGTGTGTGTGAGCGAGTGTGAGCTTAGAAACTTCCATACACGGTCGTAGCATGTTCTGTTGGCACGAGAGACTCTCGACGACGAGACTCGGTCCAGACGATGACGTAGTCGTCCGACGTCGCCGGCATTATACGTTATTATAATATATTACTATTATTATTATTACTATGTCGTGGCGGATGGAAGGTTGTCGGACGCATACGTTCGGTGTACTACGTCGGAATCCGGGTCCGCCTCTGGATGTTGTGATTGCGCCCGAGGTTGTTTACCGGGTAACATAATACACACACGCGGATGCATTATTACAGAGTCGTCGTATTATGTTATTGTGCAATGTTTTAAAACAAAACAAAAAACACGAAACAAAACAACAAAATCGAAAATCGAGTCTATAATAGTGTAATATTAATTATTAATTAACGACGCATGCGATACAAAACATCGTAAAACAATACGATGACGTATATTATTGTATATTAATATATTTTAGCGTTATTATTTGACGCGTCGACCTATTATACATAATATAATAATATGCAAGACGAAAGGCGCATTGAGCGACGAAGGACGCGAGTAAACGTGTTAACATGTAAAAAAAAAAGATTTTGTCGAATGGCATTCGTCGCGATTCGCGGAATTTGTCATCAGCACATCGCTTCCACTGAATTTTCGTAAAATCCTTCAAAATTTTTCCCGCGCGTCATATTTTGCACTAAACCGCCGACCGGTTAAAAGTCGTCTTGAAAAACACACTCTCGACATTGAATTTCGATCGTATTGCAATCACAATTTTGATACCATTTCAATAATACATTCGTCGACGAAACAATCTCTAAAAACCCACATTGTGCTACTGCAACAGATCAGATAATATTGTTTTGCAACGAGTAGATACCTATAAATATTACTAATATAATATTATTTTCAAAAATTATGATTTCGCGATATTGTTTCGACAAAGGTCAAACGGCTAATAGTCTTCAGCGATGGCGTATATTTATTGGGTGGGAGGGGTCCCCTTGACCATTTTTTTTAGCCTATACGACGTTCTTATATTATATTTATGACAATATTATTTGTTGTAGTTTATTTCATCACACTTAGCTTATTAAAAAAAATTCACTCGTTATATGATGACACGGTCACTTGGTATACGCCACTAATATGTTATACGTGTTTCATTTATTTTGTTGACATCACTTTCTGATCTATAGATGTATGTAGGTACGAAAAGAAAAATACCAATTTAAATAGAATTTGAAAATAAAAATACAAACGTGGATTATACGTTGTAACATAATATAGGTAAGTACCCGTAATATATAAGTGGTTAAAATAATTGAATTGTCTGTCTCGTTCAAAGAGCTGACATTGTTTTGAAATAATCGTAATTCATTTATTAGAAACGAAAGCCAAATTCCATAGGAAATCAATTTCGTTACAATATTTACCCCGTAAAAGGTGAAAAAAAAATTGTATTATAGAGAAGTGTATTTCCAAACCTGTATATATATTATATCATATCTATTTCGCCCGTGGCCCGTCAGTGAAAATTCAAAATCCTATATACAATGAATGGTACTGCAAACGTCTTTTAATCCGATCAATAATATTATTGTGCACGCATCTACTGCAGGCAGTCGACCTGGAAATATACCTATGGGTAAACCAGAGAGGTATATGAAGCTCACCAGTCTCACAATAAAAATCATATACGATAAGAATATTATATATTTTACTGTTGTGGAGTCTGTTGACATTTTACATCCGATAAACTGTACACTATATATTTATATTGCCGATATTAAATGCGATCAGGCGTTATGTGCAGTTTTCGTCCTATAAGCACAGATAATGCAGGAATGACACACGTCATATCGAATACAATATGTAAAAAAAAAAAATGTATATTTAACTCGGAAAACTCGATCCGATGTATAGTAAGTGTCGTAGGTCGTACCCGTTCGTCGTCGTCATCGTCGTTGATCAACGAGTATTATAATTAAGTCAACGCCAGAGATGGGTGTGTCAAAGTAGAATTTAATAACAATAACCGTTGCAGGCTATAATATAATATTATTGAGACGTAGGTGGATACGAAAATGAAAAAAATATTCAAATCAAAGGAAACTAGTCGCGATCTGCAGTCTGAGCCGCACCGAAGACATATTATTGTACGATAAGTAATATCACAGAATAGATTAAATTAAAATCTAAACTTAATCTATTCTGTGGTAATATATTATTATATAATAATGTCATACGTTTTATATTATAATATATTGTAATTTTAATTTATTTTTTTACATTCTGTTTCTGTTATTTGATTTATAACAGCTCATCATGAGATCTGCTAATTTTTGTATTGCCAATATTGTTCTCAAAAGCCGCATTGCGTATTTGCGCGGTTTATTCGAATAAAGAAATAAACTAATAACCATTATAGTGTTTTATTAATTCAGTACCTACGATATTATTGAATCAAAACAATAATTGTTTTTGCAAGAACATCGCACACATGGCTTATAAATCAATATCGACGTCCGCAAAGTATGTGTAAGTATATTATGTGTTCACGGTAAACCAACTTTATTTACTACACTTAAAAGTTTAAAACATAACTGGGTTTCCGCTATATAAGCCGTGTCGTGTCGTGTTACCGACATTTTGTTGCCAACGTATTAAATACATACGAAACACGACACAACTATACAACACGGCGAGTGAAAACACTTAACCCGGATTTAGGCTAAATGTATTAAAAATTTCATCGCGTACCTATATAGAAAACGATGATATAATTAATAATTGCGGAAAGTTTCAAGTGTCTTCTGCGGCAAATATTTTTTCATCGAAATAACTAAAATAGTTTGAGGCATCAATCTTGTGGCAACAAAAATCGCCAAAAATAAAGTAAAATCAGCGAATATATAAAAAAAAAAATTCAGCACACCTCACTCGTAAATATTGTATAATACCTTTTTTTTTAAATATTCACAGTCTTCAACAACAACCAATTATAATTAATGCAATTAAAAAAATACTGCTGAATGATTAATATACCCCTACTACACTAATATTGAAGTATAAGGATAAATTACAGGCGATAAGCCTCGTAAATACTTCAATCTCATAAAAGATTTGCATGGCACGAACCAATAAATCAATGAAATACAAAAATCAAACGCCCAATTGATTAAAACCTCTGTGCCACTCTTCAGTAAGTAAAATATTATCCTTTCTCCGCGAATCAACTTTTTAGTTTATGGGAAATATAAGATTTATCTTTTTTATTTCCAATCAATAAGTACCTCCAAAACGACTGCGATGCTAGTGGTTCAGAAATTCATTCATTATATTGACGTTGAATGTACTGTCAATATAATTGTTCAAAATAGTATCACCAACGTAATTTTCCGGAAAGAAAGACAATGTAGATAAGTAACCGACTTAGTAATGATAGTAAGGTATGTCTTCAACATCACAAGTTCCTGCAGTGATGGCGAAATATTTTTTAAAAATAATCATATCTAGAAAAATATGCTGGTATCAATAAGTAATTGAATGTCATGTCTTACCTTTCTGAATTACAGTGAAACACATAATCGATTTCGTCGAAAACCAGGGTTGCTTAAAAATTTCCGTTTTCCTGTTGTTATTTCCTTACCTATGCATCTGGATCAAATTTTCTAACAGAAACCACCCTCAAATGGCCTCAATGCTGCAGATATAAGGTTGATTGTAGCATAAATTTACTGCTACAAGACGCGACAACAGACACAAAATAATTAAATAAAAAACACATAATTATAATATTATAAAATCAATGCATTCCTCGTTCGACTCAGAATCTAAAAACATGAAAGTGAAACAAATTAAATTTTTTGTTATTATCATTATACTATTATATATTATTACATAATTTGCTATTATTATGAGTAACGTGTCAACAAACAACAAAATACATTGATTTTTAAGTCATTATTAAAATTATTGAAGATATTTGAATATAAAATTATATAATGATGTTTTATATTATTAGTTCAAGAAACAAAGATATTATTTTTACAGGTATACAATTTTATGCATGGTTTCGAATTTTTAAAATATATAGCTATTAATATTATTACTTCATAAATAATTTTCCAATTTCCTTAATCGTATACTATAATAGACATTCTTGTCGTCCTTCATTAGTTATTGTCTATATCTATTTTCGAATTGTTTTCCTTGTCCATCATTTTTCACGTAAGTTGATTTTTTTTACATACAACCATTAATTTTTGATTATTTGATTTTCACACATTCAAGATATTATCCAGCCATATACCTATGATCTTTAATTCCTAGGTTAGGTTTTTATGAAACTAAAAATATGCGCCAAATAATAAAGTTTGAGTGTCTGCAAAAATGGTTCATAATCTCGTGAACTTAAAAAAGATTCATTAAACTAGGAACGTTATATAAAAATAAAAACTATTTTAATAGAGCAGAAATAAGAAGTCTAAGATAAAGCACGATACATTGAATATATTTGTAATTGATTACAGAACACGTATGTGAATCACTGTAGAAGTAGACATTATTAAGTCGTTGTTGATATAAATGAAAATGAAAATGATATTTTTGTACGATCGAAAAATAAAATATAAAATCATGGTTTCATGATGAATAATATATTGACGAAAAGAAGTTTAGTTATAGACGTTATAGTAATAAATTACAATATTTTAAGTTTAAATTTTATGTATTACAAATTACGCATTCCCTACTATAATTTGGTTAGTCTTTGATAAGCATATATAAATGCTAATCTATTATCTCGTATTAACTTGTAGATACAACATAAAACGATTGTGTGATTATATTATTAATTCTACATAAGTATTATAGTGTATTAATTAGGTTAAGTCGAGGTACACTTTAAACTGTTTATAAATCATGACGAAAGCTTAATACTTTGGCGTATGACAAATTTTAAATTTATAATAGGTATATTAAAGAACAAGCTACAAAATAAATGTGTATCTATATCTGGGTTGGCAAAAACCCGAGCTTTTTAATAAAAAACCCCCCAAAAAACGGTGGGTTATATTGTAAAAGTAATAATGGGCGGTTTTAACTGGTTTTTTCTGAAAAATGAATCCGAAAAAATTGGAAATATTTTTCTATGTTTGTATTAGCTACGTCGTTTTTTAATTTTTCCCTTATCGCCTTATCTCTATACCGGCCCCGCCAAAAACCGACAAAATAATATATTAGATTCCGACCATTCCGACCTTTTCCCAATTGTTAATTGTTATTGACGTTAGTGGCATTATTAAGTTTTTTGTTTTGTTGTTAGTTGTTAACTTTATTTGGATTATTTATTAAGTATTTACAGGGAAGTTACCTAATACCATTGATTAAATATAAATTTAAGCAATTCTAATACCTTATATTAAAAATAAAAGATTTCTACAGACCATTGGTGTGTAATTTTTTGCATTTCATACTTTTACTTGTACCTGCAAAAATAAATAAAATAATAAGGCCTTTATTTTGTAATCAAATTTTATTTGGAAAAATAAATAATTCCTATTACCTAGGTGAATTTTTCTGAAGTCAAAAAGAACATTTTAGTGGATTTCTACTTCATCCAGAAAAGCAGCCAGGGCTTTTTATGGGGTTTTTCAAAATATTAAGTGGGTTTAAACCAGAAAACCAGATCGGGTTTTTTATGCCAACCCTGATCTATTAGCCTTTACAGCAGATTTGAAATGGTTTATGAATTAAATTGAATAAAATATCATAAACCAGCTCTATAGTTTATAATATTTTGTATTTACCATGATTGACTATATTTTATAATTGAGTTTAGAATTAACGAATTTTCTGCTCAACATAAATACATTATCAAATTAAAACAATGAATTACGTCATAATATAAAAATATGCTTGTCCTTCAAACTTATATAGAAGTACACCAAATATAGATAGGTAATCTTTAATATTATTTTATAAATTGAAGAGAAATATATTTGTGCATACGTAATTTTGAACTTTGATAAGTGAACATAAGTTAAAATAACAATACTATTAATATGTCTTTTATTGGATTCACTATTGAATTTAAATTAAGAATTATTTATATCGTCAACAGTATTTTATCTTCAGTTAATACAACTGTAATGCTACGTAGTAATTATAAGACTATTTAATATGTCAAACAATTAAAGTAACTGTGATTAATCAACAATGTAGGTATAATTACATAATTATACATTGCTATATTATCTTGTATTTTATTTTATTGATATACATTTTTTTTAACAATTATTACAAAGGGTTTTAAATCAAATCGAACACTGTAGATTTCAGTAAAAAATATAAAAAAAATAAATACAATATTAAGCGTCAGATGTCAAAGTTGTACAATATACTGAATATTATACAATTCAGTCTTCACTTGTTCAGCACGATGTAGGGTATTTTGTTGTTTTTAAAAACAACAATAAAATCTTTTGTTCGTGTGATATAAAAATAGCAATAACGCCAGTAACAGAGCCCACAGATTAGATCTATATACAATTCTGTGGTAATAATATTTTATTTACGAGTTGGGTGTTTTACGATTTCAGTTTAATGTATATTTTGTCAAAACGGTCGACCTCCGCGTGTTCACCGAATTAGTGCGACCCAAAGCGGTTGTTTTCGAAAGACAATATAATAATATATCACTTTTGGTTTTTTCGTTTACCGGAATATATTGTGATGAACAATTTTTTTCATAAAAAAAACCCTCAGTCCTAATGTTCTTATTAATATGAGATAATGTGTGACACGTCCGTCGAGCAAAACCGGCACGTTATAGACGGACGGCGGATTACGATTACGTATGTAAATACAGTGTAATGTAATTAATAATAAATTACGATGAAGCTGTAATCGGTCGAAAATCGTCCGCTATACCGTATGTATCGTGTGTGTGTGTTATTTATCACTCGGCTGGAGGTTATACAATTTAATGTTATAGGCCACAATCGTTTAAATACACCCATTGCCTCGGCATATGCTGTTATTCGTCTGCACACTTCGGTCAAGTCGAGTTCAACTTTACACTGCATCCCAAGGCGATCCACACTGCACCACAAGATGGCTTTTAACGTCCTCTTCGCTACCGCTGTCCTGTGTCTGACGGCTCTGTCCCTTTCCGTCGCATTCGGTAAGTACAGCTGATGATATTCTTATCGTTATTATTATTCGTTTTCATTACGGTTATTTTTGTTTTTTGATTTTTTTATATTATAATTAAATTTTTTTTTTATATATGTATATTAACGTCATTACGATTTATATAATACTTAAGACGTTTACTAATAATACGAGGGCGGTCTTGTGTGAAAATCACGACTCGTCTGCATTTAAATTATACTTACGCGTTCTTACGCGAAATGATAAATGATATATCGACATTATTAGTCGATTTTTACTCGACTCGTTTACGATTATTATTAGCGTTTCGCCGAGGCATTAGCTAAAGTCTATAATATACACGAACCTATTTGTTATAATACGATGTTGAACCAAGTAAGATTTTTTTTTACTGAATATACATTTTAAGACAGTTAAAATAATATATGTTTAACCATTATTTTTATCATCGTAAATTATTAAGGTCATAGAAATTAATATAGTGGTATTTGGGATTTATTTTAACAATCATCGATTTTTATTTGTTGTAAAAGGAAAATATAATCAACGATTTTTTAAGGAACATCGTTGACAATAGTATATTATAATTTTGTTTTTTAATATTTTATTAAATATAAATATGGGTTGAAATAAAAACTAATTTTTCGTAATATTATAATCAACTTAATATTATTAAACACAATATTTTTCGTGTGTTAAATTATTTTTTTTACAAATTAGTCAACCGGTTTGAAAATACGTAAAAAAATATTTCACTATTTAAAAATATATTTTAATAATTTTTTAATAAATTACCAAAAAATCAATTAATAGTATTATCACGATATGAAATAAATAAATATATAAATATTATATTAAGTTGAATTGAAGCACGTTTAATATTTTTATAACTATACCTAGGTGAACATACGACTCACTATGAATCGTATTTAATAACTCATTTATTTTCAGTTATAGTAATAATCAGTTTTTTGATTTAAATTTAAAAAAATAGTGTTGATTTATATTTTGTAGTGGGAGTTCGTTTTTAGATTTTAATGATAAATAAGTTCAAAAACCTACTCTGAATAGTGCTCGCGGGTTACTAATTAAAGAATATTACAGGGGTTAAATTAAAACCACTCGTTAAAAAATATTCACAAGGTGTGTAGTTTTTCTTTTCAAATTTCTCGCCGTTTTCTCGAAAACCACTCGGAATAATAGTGCGGTGATGCATGAAACTTTTAGAGGTTTTTTTTTTTTACTTCTACCGACAAACCGTGAAGAAGAGCACACATCATTGTAAAATCAATAAGTCCTTTGTTCCGGTCTGAGTCTATAATAGGATTTAATAATTCTACAAAGCTCGCGAATAGTGATACCGCGGTATTGGTTATTTTTCTTATTCATTCGCTCAATGTTTAGGGAGCGAGTACGAACGAAATTATTCATAATATTATGTTATCAATACTATTGTATAGATTCGTAGGTATTTCACGCCAGCGCGCGTATAGAATATTTTGTATGCACTTTGTTAATGTTCTTATGGAAAAAACGCAAACATGTTTTATTATAATAAGCATTAGTGGTGTTGTATATGCATTTTTTTTTATATCGTAACAAATCGATTATATGATACGTACGACGATGATAATATTTATACATTATTAACTATTTTGCAGCGGAAGAAATTAAACCGATAGACGAGCCTTGTCTGGGATGCCTTTGCGAAGCCAACGGCGAGTGTTCGCCCCACATGAAGTGCAGAGGAGAGGTGTGCGGTATGTTCGGTATAACGTGGGCGTATTGGTCTGATTCGGGAAGACCGGTTATACAAGGAAGTCAACCAACCGACTCGGACGGTAAGACTTCATCAGATTAATAGTAGTCCTACGCATCTATATAATGCGATGACGAGTGATCTATTATTATGTACAAGCCGCCGCAGATTACATTGTCTTACGAAACCATTATTGGAGGACGTATAATATTCTCAAATTAATTTTTTTAAAACAATGAATTCCGTAGAATAAGTAGTAAATATTGAATATTGTATTATAGGTGATGGTCGTACAGTGGTACATAAGACGTCAACAATTAATAGGCTTTTTTCGACACGGGAACTCTCGTTGTATATTTTATTTGCATAGGTGTCTGTACAATTATACGATAAATTTGAGATAAAATTGTGCGCCTACTCGCAATATTATAAAATCACAATTGTTCGTGGACCTATAAAATTTGGTGCATAATCGGGTCGGAGTGCAGACACTAGGGACACTGCTACCAAACAGAATTTTCGAGGATTATTTTGGGTAGGTAAACGGTAACCTACTATGATATATAACGAACAATGACAATATGCATATTATACTTTCATCATATAGCGACAATTAAATTAATCTCAACAATTAAATATTAACACTAAAATAATTGTTTTAATTAAATAAGTACCTGTTATAGTATGATTTGCATATTTATTGAAAACGTAACATTTGTAGATTTAAGAAGGCTAAAATTAATCTCAGATGCTTAGCTATTAAATATAAATACCTACTAAATCAATCGTCGTAGATAAATTATTATGTGTATGACGAAAACTTTGATAAAAATACCTACGAAATCACCAGGCCAATAATTATTGATAGCATAACATCTATGCTATAATGAATACCATATTATAGATTCTATTGTTGGCGTATAATAACCCATCCCGCACAACAAATAAACAGTGCTCTGTCATACTTTTTAAATGCTTAGGTACCTAATAATTTGTTCAGAATAAATATTGAAATCCTTGAAAAAGTACGTTTAGAATATATATATTGTTCCTACTTGTTACTTGTCTATGAATGCAGTCTTGGAGTGGCGGGGACTTAACGGTCATACAGTTAATACATATTCAATACCTAGGTACAGTAAAAATAATATTGAAACAATAGGACCATAATTTATTAAAACCGTTTGTACTTGAAAACTTCACTATTGTGCACTGTGTGATAAACTTTCATAAATAAAATACGATAAATAAATAGCTGTTATTATCAATGCATAACGGAAAATGGACAATTAGAAAAATAATATATCATTAATAGGAATACGAATATCGGTTAATTAATTGTACTTAATAATTTGTTCAGAATAAATATTGGAATCTTTGAAAAAGTATACTTTTAGAATATATATATATTGTTCCTGCTTGCAGTTTATGCCTGCATTCTTGGAGTGGCGGGGAGTTAACGTTCATACGGTTAATACATAATATATTAAATACCTAGGTACAGTAAAAATAATATTGAAACAATAGGGACCATAATTAAAACAGTATTGTACTTAAAAAAATTCACTATTGTAAACTGTGTGATAAACTTTCATAAATAAAATACGATGAATAAATAATTGTTATTATATCAATGCATAATGGAAAATCGACAATTATAAAAATAATAAATCATTACTAAGAATACGAATATCGGTTAATTAATTGTAATTAAATACCCAACGTATTATAATATATTAGTATCAGTGTCAAAATGGTAGGTACACAGATGAACAAAACTATTCAATGAATCAGCATCATATCAATTAATAATAATCTAAAATTTAAACACGAAATTAAAAATGACCATTTTATTAGTAATCATCTTGTTATTTTCATTAAAATTACAAACTTGCGTCTAAACAAGATAATCATAGAATAATAATAATATTCAAAATAATGTTCAATATTAAATTAATTACTTTTTGTTGACGTATGAGTAATAAGTATAACATTATAACAATGCGTTTTTCACCCTAAATAGTTGATATTACGAAATGTAAATTAAATATTTTTAGCTTATTGGTAAACTTAAAATTAAAAACTAGACTCCTACTACAGACATTGCTTATAATAGTCTACATGGAGTATTTGTTAACCCTGATGTATTGTTTAGGTAATACACATTTGTAATAATATGTAATCTAAACAAATATGTTTATGTTATAATATAAATATAATAATCAAATAAGTAATGCAAATGCAATGCAATGAATAATAATTATGACAAAAATTATAAAAATAAATTGATTGGAAAAATGTTTTTTGTTTCCGATTTAAAACTTTGTTTCTGGTTCGGAAAAAAGTATTACAGTTTGAAGTTAATACAAAAAAAAGTAAGCGATTACATTTAACTACTTCCTACTTGAACTGGTCCACTGCGGTTAAATTATTACTTATCGTGAACTAAGTTCATGATTATTATATTTTTATTGTATATTTGTATATATCATCACAATTATGACGATTATGTTTATCCATGTATTATTAGTGTTGTCTGATATTATGTTTTAATGTTATTCGATCAAGCGACTAATATATTTTTTGTACATGTCTTTCTATACGGCCATTAATACAACAATACCTATGTAAATCATTATGCACAAATTGCATTTTCAAGTGTTAAAAAAACTCTTAGAATAGTTTGAATAAAAAAATGTTGTCATCGCTATAATTCACGAATATGTAATATTCTAGTAATGGCTTTCATTGTGTTTTAAAATGATTTAAGCATTTCGCCATTTTTCGTGTAAGGTAAAAAAGTAAAAACATAGTTTCAGAGTTGACATTTATACTAAATACTACCACACATGCGAAGAATAGTCGCAACACGTGAAGATCTACTCGATAACATTTTCGAAAATTCAAAATAGTATGATTCGGCAGTTTGTCGTTTTTCGCATAGTGTTTAAACGTATAGGCACACAGGCACCGTATTATACTCCAAAAACGACCTACTAAACGAACAAAAGCCAAGTGTCACGCACAGGATATTATTATTATTTGTCCGTCGTGGTTGAATAATATTTTGGTTAACTACTAAAGTTTTGTTTGATAAATCGACTTTCCTCTCTGTATTCATTTACATCCCCAGTGATGTGAATCGTTCTAGTCGCAGCATATAATTTAGCATTAGTCTTACTATTGAATAACTTTGATTAATATAGAGGTACCTCATATACGTTCTTTTGGTCGAAAATAATTACTTAATATTGTAGGCCGTGTGATATAGAACCACTTGTCTGAGGAGTGATGACATTAAACGACGATCGAAATATTTTATACTGACCACGACAAAGTTTTCGTCGTTTAATAATAATATTACTGTCTTGTGTTTCCAGCGTACCAGAAATGTGCCAACGATGCTACATGCGCCAGAACATCAGTAATAGGTTACATGAAGAGATTCGCTCAGGTAAACCTTTAGATTATCCGACAAAAAATAGTCGTTGTATTATGCGCCGTTGCTGTAATCGGATTTTCCGTTTACGACGGCGTCGATCGACTGTACTATTTTTTACGCGTTTATATGCGTATTATTATTTTTTTTGGTATTCGTTTTTTAATCCCATTTCCATTTTCGACCACTGCAGGACTGCAACAACGACGGAGTCGTCGACTGCTACGATTACGCGGCCATCCACAAGATGGGAGGTTTCGGATGTAAATCACACCTACCCCATGATTACCAGATACGATTTAAGGCTTGCCAACTCAGTCTTAAAGAACTATCGGGATAAACCGGGACGCCACGATGTTATTATGATTGCTGCCCGACAATCCACGGTCCAGACCTTGTCATATTATGCTCAACGACGAGAACCTGAACTGCTGCAGTGATGGGACGAAAGCCCGCCTACACCTTATTTAAAACACTATCTACAATTTTCTTGTAAAACGTACCTATATTTATCTATATCGCTATTATAATAATAGTTGATTTGTATGTTCTTAAAAATAATAAAAACCTAATTTAATTATTATTTGGGTATCCGTGTTTTCGAAATGTATTGATATATTATAAAATACATTATTTATTAATACTGCACAGACGAATAACGGCTGTTTTCGAGGATTATTAATTCCTTAGGACACATTGACACATCTTGTCGGACGACTGTATGGTAATATTATCTTAATTCTTAAGTCACGCTTAGGACTCAAAACAGCAACTTAATCTACAAAAAAGTTTTTAATCCAAACAAATTTAATGTGAGTATCCGGATAGAGGAGGAGCCTCGTGTTATTATTATTTTCTATAATAATAAACTATGTATTATGATATTTTCACAATATTTTATTTTGTATTTTAATAACTTAATATTATTATTATTCGGTGCTAGAAATATTTGTCAGACTTAAACATTTATAATGTACATTATTGTGCAATTTTGAATTTTATTTTGTTTGTTTATTAACCTCACCGGTGGAACAAAAAAATGTGCACACTTCTTATACCTGTATCATATAATATTATACAATGTGTTTAATACAATGACAGCAGTGCTAAAGGCTTGGATAAATCCTTGATGGCGTTTGTTTTCGATAACTATAATCAGCAGAGTGTTTTTGTGTGAGCACTTTATCCTTTTGTTCTACTGTAGTTCCTTTAGTCCTTGCTTCAAGATGTTTTTTTCTTTAAATTTACAATTGATCAAATATACAGGTCAACACGACCTACAAAATATAGGTGATAATAGTCTATTTGCGACTGGTAAAATATATAGGGTCATCCTGCAGATGACGATTTCGTTTTTCTAGCATCCAATCTTAAATTTAATTTTAAGACCAGGTAATTTCACACTGAAGGACAAGATGAATAACGATACGTATTATGACGTAAGGTCGTAAAAAATCTCCAAAATCGTGGTTTTAATAACCATTCGATGGTTGAAAAACACTAATCGTGTAACATTTAACGGTTATGGTTTTTTTTTACATTTATATTTTCGATCTGTAGCTTGAGTTATTGAGACTTGCTGTTATTAATAGACCATATACATTAAGATCACACTTACAATAAATCAATGTTCGTTCGTCATTTTTTTTTTTTTTTAATGATTAATTATATTTCTATATGTGAGCAACTGTTAAGAGTCCTATAAACTCTACTGTACATAGTAAACCGCACGAGCTCAGCTCGGAATCGTTCTTCGTATGCGATTATTTATCATTGCGTTCACATTTACAATGGCACAATATATATATATATATAGTACCTATATAAACAACACTACGTTTCGCCAAGCCGAGAGAAAGAAATAAAGGACTAAAGGATACCATATACTACCATCATATACCCCGTCTCCGTATCCTTTTCGGATTTTATTTCGTTTCACTATCTATAGCGAGCATAATATTTTGTTTGTACGTTTTAGTATATTGTCAGTACAACAACTTACTATATGATGCGAAAGACTATATCGCAAACATTTTCTGTCGACGGATGCAACAGCGGTCACTGCAACTGCTATTATTGTACTGTTTATAAAGATTTTATATATGGATAAAAATACACACAATATTACACCAATAAATGTTTGATTTTTCGAATACTGTTATTGTCATCCTATATTCTTTTATTGGATGTTTTTACCCCGAACACTACGTCTTGTTCCTCGGACATTTTAACTTACAAGTGTACAACAATACAGACACAAGATATTCGTTTTGACGAATGTATAATATCATTACTACATAAATAATACAATAATATGATATAATAAAGATCATTCTGTATTTAATCAAAATATTCAGTCCGCAATAATATTATTATTTATACCGGAATTATTAACCGAACGTCGTGTTTGTCTGTCAACTGTGTTGTTCCTTCTTAATTTCGTAAAAGGTTGAGTCTGTCATACGCTCGTGAGATGATGACCTTTAACGTCCGATGAATAATATTATATCATATTATATAATCATAACAATCTCAATATCTCATAAATGAGACCAATTAATTTTCGAAACTCATAGTATTGCGAACATTTTCTTCAGTATTATTTCTAAATCAATAGTTATTGAAACACTAGACATAACAATATATAAAAATTTAAGAAAAATACGCCATCATACTATTTAAACCTGTTGTGGTTGGGTTATTTCAGTGAATAATATATTATGTATACAAATACACACAATATTACAGCAATAAATGTTTATGTTTAATTTTTCGAATACCATTAATATTGTCATCCGATATTCTTTTAGGGGATGTTTTTACCCTGAATACTACGTCTTTTTCCTAGAAAATTTTAAAGTGCAACAATACAGACACGAGATATTCGTTTTGACGAATGTATATTATTACTACATAAATAATATATGATACAAAGATCATTCGATATTTAATCAAAATATTCAGTCCGCAATAATATTATTATTTATACCAGAATTATTAACCGATGGACGTGTTTGTCAGTCAATTGTGTTAATTTTGTTAAAGGTTGCGTCTGTCATACGCGCTTGAGATGGCCCTTAAAGTCCGATGAATAATCATAAATGAGACCAATTAATTTTCGAAACTCATAGTATTGTGAACATTTTCTTCTGCATTATTTCTAAATCAATAATATTATTGAAACGCCTGACAAAACAATATAACAATTTAAGTAAAATACGCCATCATACTATTTAAACGTGTTGTGGTGGGGTATTTCAGTGAATAATTAATACCACATTTTTCAGCATGTAATCGAATTATGTTTTATAGGTTTTAGTGGGATTTATTTTAGTGGGAACCAGGAACCTAATACCGTTAAAGGCGCGTACGACTAAGTGGATTTAGTAAATAACATGCCAATAACAAATCATACACACGATAAAATATGTGTTACAGAAAACCATGAAATTTACATATTTAAGATTATGACGTGTCCGAACATATATTCTTATTGCCTACTGTAAAAACGTGATAATTATGCAACAGTATATATGTATAAGGAGACGGACAATGAGTCAAATATAACGTGTAATATTATTTGCGCGCGGGTTTTTATGTTTAAAAAAATAAACCACAGGTGGCCCTAGAAATATGGTTCGAGTACTGTACAGGTGGGGACATTTTGAGAGCACCTAGGCCAGGCCACTTTAGTATCAACTTGCGAGCAATAGCCACTAGCTATCTTCTACCCCGTGTGATCTATACGACACTCATTGTGCAAAAATCCGTCGAAGCAGTTGGATGTCATGGGCGCGCTACTTCAGTTCCTGTTGACGACGGTGTTCGTCGCGTTCGTTTTCTCTCAAAATGATTTGCAAGGTAATGGTGATGTTTTGTTTTTCATAAAAGTTAATTTTCACCTAATTTCACTATAATTTTAAAACCGGTTCATATACCGAAATATCACAAAATTAATATATTAACACAAATTTTTAATAAAAACGAAATGTTCTTTTTGAATTTGTTTTCCCATAAACGTAGATACGACTCACCTGTTAATAAATACACCTATTACACAAACAATTATTGTTTTAATTTAATTTAAGTGATACTTAATTTTCTATATACACGTAATTTACTTTATATTTTAATTTAAAAACCAAAACGTTTCGTTTATATTTTAGTCTTGCGTGATTCGTTTTTAGGATAATTATTCAAACTTTAAAAATGTTATATTAATAGAAGACATAATATTATTGTGTTGAACAAAATACTATCCAAAAAATTAAACAAGTTATGAAATATCAATTAAAAATGTAAGATTCAAGGATATGTGTATCCGGCATATTATGTCCTGTTGTTATACCATATAATATAATTTATTATTTGGTACAGGTACAATTAATACGATGCAAAAGGGCAAAATATAATTCTGGGAAATCGAAATATTTACTAAGACACGATACACGAATATCGAAATATTCATCTGAAAACTCGTAACACGAAAATAATAATGAATAATATACACAGTTGATCAGAATTAGCAACATTTTTTATGCATTAGTTTACAGTTTCGCCCACACACATATTTTATACCATTCAGTTCTGATCCGTGTTATAATATTATTAATAGCACGAAAATAAATAGAATCTGTTTAATTTTCGAAAATTTACATAATTGTATTAAATTTATATTTTCTTATTTGATTAAATGTATATCTCGAATTTCAAACACGTACCTATTATTTCGATTCAGTACTATTATCATTGATATAATACTTGGATTACGCCTCGTCGTACCTATATTGTATTTATTACTCATTTACACAAAATATTATATACGTGTACTGTTCTGTTGTGTAGGTATTGTTGTATTATAATAATTTTGATCCAAAGTCATAAAATAAATTGCATAACTTTGGAGTACCACTGAACATATTTAGTTGTGACGAAGTCATTAATAGTCACAAAACTTGAGCTATAATATTATAATTGTATAATAATACAAATATGATATAAATTATATACTACAGTCTATAATTTTCAAAGTATAGTCATTATTTTAATTGAGTTAAGTTTACATTATTCAATTTAAAAAATGAAAATCATTTTTTTTTCTAATTTAAATTTTAAGCATGTTGAATGCTGATAGATGGCTTATTAATAATATTTACAACTATAAGTCATAAGACATAATAATACTATAGTAACATATTATAATGATACAAACTAACGGTATATGACAATTATTAATTTTCACCATTATTTTTAAGAAAATATTTATAATACTTATGATGTAAAGACTTTTAAAAATATTTCCACATATTATAGGAGATATTAATGGTACTGAACTTTATTTTAATTATACTTTTGATACAGTAGGTTGGTATAGTTAGGTATGAACCGTATTTTAATCCTTTAAAAATTATCTGAAATTATTCAAATACTATAATATTTGTGACCGATTTCGTAACGGTGTGGTTATAAACTCAACGTCTGTTTTATGTCAACTTACTATTCGTACCTAATTGAATATATTATTATTCCATTAAATACGACTACTATAATATATGCGGGCTTTAATGGTCACGTCGTTATATAGATACCTACGTACGCCTATGCGATACAACAACTGTGTAATACCTTCGATAATACTGGCACCGGCATTCGATTAATTTAATAACACGTCGTGGGACGATTTCATTTAAAAAACAATACATCCGAATTTGGGTCTCCACATTTTGCACGATAAAAAAAAGAGCACTCAAATTCCACATATCCGCAGACAATAATTGACAGTATATTTTATAGTATAGTTTTGGGTATGTCCTGCCCAGCTAATTAAAATAACCACTATACCACGCTGGTACCATAACGGGTACCTACTTTTAACCGAAACAATATCGAATCCGACAATGAAGCGCTTGAACCGAATGAAGTAAACGGGTGACAGTGAGCAACCTTCTGTCTTAATCCGCAAATTTGTGTGCCGGGACCTACGACATGTCATGTTCCCCCTAATTTTTGTATTCTATGCCAATTACTTAGAACCGTATAACAAGCATATTATTATAATGTTACCACTATACCATGCTGGTATAACGGGTACCTACATTTAACCGAAACGATATCGAATCCGACGTTGACGCGCGTGAACCGAATGAAGAAAACGCGTGACGGTGAGCAACAGGTACTGTCTTAATCCGCAAATTTGTGTGCCCAAGACCTATGGCACGTCATGTTTGAACTAAATTTTGTACTCTGTGCCAATTACTTAGAGCCGTATAACAAGCATACTATTATTATAATGTAATACAGTTGGCAGTAATAATATAATATAGTTTGTTAACTTCGTCCGTTTGCAGTAGTTGTATCCTGTTATAGTGCGGTGGGTATTTCCGTCCAGTTAAAAGAGCGTAGGTAGGTTTTGGCCACCCAATACCTTTTTGAGTTCAGTTATGATGGCCTCGATTTCTCGGGTAGGTCTAACACACCGCGGCGGTACAACTGTGTCCAGATAATTTATTTCAAATAGTTGTTGCTGTTGTCTACAGCTGTTGTAGCACGTCTACGGTGTTTTTTTTATCAAATTGAATTAACATTATCAATGCATAAATCACGTATGTCCAATGTTATCGGTTGTTATGCATAGCATGCCAAAGCCACGCGATTTCGATAAGCATCCGGCCAGGTAATGCAAAGATTACATTTCGATAACGCAATAACCCAATTAAAACGACACTAAAAAGAGATAAATACGTATAATGTTATAAAATATTATGTTTAATTGTTTTTGTCGGTTTCTTATTACAAATTCTTAAGACATTAATAATATTATGCGGTAGGCTCATTTTTATTTTAAATTAAGATAACAATAAATAACATTGATAAAAACATAAAAAATAACTTCTTCCACTTAGAATCAAAAACTCATTAGGCTTTACAAAATGTAAAATATTATATAACTTTACGAAACAAAATTAAAAATAGACATCATAAATAATGCAATTACAGTAACAGCGTAATATATATTTGAAAAATAAATTATGCATCAAATATTTTAATATGTACATAACTATACCCAGGTATAAAAAAAACTTTATAGGTATAATTTTTAACAATAACTCAAGACATTCCACTAATGTATAAATGGTTTTAAAACTTAAACCATTAAAAAAACACATAAAATTTGTCATAGGTACATGATATTATCATGATTCAAATTAACTTAGCATTATACAAAAATGTGTGGTAAAAACAAAACAAAAAAGTTTTGCATTTATACTGCAGCTTTTAAATATAAAGTACAAATAAAACAATTATAAGAATTTATATTGAAATTTAATTCTATTTATATAAAGTTTTTAATTTTATTATATCGAGAACACGTCATTTTTTCAAAATCTACATTGACGGGAAATATTAGTAACAAATAACTAAAAATCACTATCCTGCACTGGCTGCACTTAACCACTATAGAAAATATATAATCTAAGTAAGCACTCGTTTGGAACTTCTGAAGGATGTAAATAATATCTCGAACAAGTAATTTATTTGCTAAATATTAGTAAACCGTAATAAAATACACGAATTATTCTTAGTATACAAAAATCAATTAATATACACACCTAGGTCTTTTAGTAACAGTGTTGTTCGATAATCAATTTTCTTTATTTTAAAATAGCATGCTTGTTAACATTTATTTGGGATTTTTTGTAACACGACTATTGAGTATGTTAATTTCATTGAATTACATTATCAGATTGTTTAATATTATGTTATTAGTTGTTATCATGCAAAGAACTGATTGCCTTTTACAAATTAATATAGTAATCAATTCATTAAAACAATTTAAAACGTTTAATATAGTTACCCAAGCACTGTTTAAACGATAGATTTACAGTAAGTGATAAACAAGTAAAGTCGGATAGGTGACTGGGATAGGTGTACCAATAGCTTTTAAATTTTAAAGCGACGATAAATCAAATAATAAAAAATTTGCTACGTGTGCTTGTTTACAATTTTCTTGAAAAAAAAGGATCCATAAAAAAATATATTAGGAAATATTACCTCTTTAAACTTTAATCTTTATAGAGTACCCACCTGCGTTTAATTACATGATTATAGAGGTAGGACTATCCGTTAGAGCTTCTGTAATTAAAATCATGTATTGTTATTGTAAGGCTGATCTGAATCTGAACTATATTATAATCCAAACACAAACAAACTAATGATGATTGATGAATAATATAATGTAAATCGTGGATTTATTTATGAATTATGAAAATATAAAAAGTAAGTTATATTGTTTGAAAATCTGAATTCTGAATATATTATTTATTTTTATACAAATATGATTTTATATACATTTCGAAATGTTATTTTCACTTAAAGTCTTATTATTTTTTTTTCTTTACACTCTATACATTTGTAATTTTTATTTGATATTATTATTTTATATTGAAGTTACAAGAGAGGTTTTTTTTTGTCAATAATAGATTAACTTCAACGCACTTCAGAAATTCAATGCAAGCCGCTTCCGGGCTCAAATTTATAGTATACCATTAAGTTAACGACATCATACAACCTTCTCCCTTTTTATTTGTATTTTATTGATTGGTCCCGACTTACTCAAAAGGTAGCAGTTTCTTTTACTTCATATGAAAATATCTGAGTAGTATTCATAGTATATATTACATATGAAAAAGTCCCGAAAAAAAAATAATAAAAGCAATATTATAGGTTCTCGGTTCTAATACATTTTAAATGTTGAATTATTATTATGTCATTGGAAAGTGATAAAATACAATTTTAACTGTATAATATAAATAGAGTTGAGTGAATGATTTAATTTTAAATAATAACAACTACTCGCAGACGTCAATTCTTACAACTTCTTTAAGTACAGTAATATCCTATAAGTACGCTATAACCTCCAACTAACCTAATCCGGTTTTGCGTGTACACTCGCGTATTGTAATGGAAAAATATAATATAATATTGTCTCTTGCAGAAGAATTTCCACCGGGATGGACGGAAAAATGCATAGGATGCATGTGCGAAGCGTCTTCTGGATGCAATCAAACACTCGAATGCATGGAACAAAACGAAGTTAAATATTGCGGTGTGTTCTTGTTGAGCGACGTTTATTGGCAAGACGCCGGTACGCCCGTGCTTCAAGGAGATGACCCTAGCCGAATCGGAGGTATAACTGCGTCGTATAATACTCTCGAAGTGTTAAAAATAGTATTTTTGTTATGCACTTGTACCCATATGTCGTATCGACAAACACTATAATATGTAATAATAATTGTCATGTCATTACACTTTTCAGCGTTCGAGAGGTGCGTCAGAGACCCGTATTGCGCAGCGAGAGCTGTAAATCAGTACATACAGAGATACGCAAAGGTATATTGGATTTTACGAGAACGATATTATAATAATTGTTTCGGTTTTAAAAAATGCAATTTTTTATAATTTGTTTTTCCTCCGGTTCGAGTTACAAAGCTATACCTATTGACACGCAAGTGATATTCGACAAACTTATAGACTCGCACGTGTAGTCTAAAGCATTTATTATATTTTTAGAACCATTCTACCTAAATATTAGAGTTTCGATTATAGGCACCTCATCCCACTGATACTATTTACTATTGTTTAAATACAATATTTAACAGTTCGATTTGGTTTCAATGAAAAATTATTAAAAAAAAAATTATCAATTTAAGCAGTACCTTAATCGTATAAGTAAGGAGTATGATATATGTGCTGATGCCTATTATTATTTTCTATATTTTTTCTAAAGTCGTATAACATAGTATTATATTTAGCGAAAATTATTTCAACAACGTTGTTCCTCGATTTATTTGCAATTCGCACAATATACACATCCCACACTGGATTCTTGCGTAGATATTGCAGACTAATATTTATTTCAGGCAATATTTTATAAAAAGCTTCATTTTTATAATTGTTTTTACGATAGAAATTCATTTTACGTAGGTACGACTTATGTCGTTATAGATGCACTACAATATTTGAGTTTAAAATACAATTCTACTAAAAATGCTTTTCGTATATTATACTAGAAATAATTTAAAATCGTAAATCATGTTCAGTTTGCTGCTCAGTTTGAAGTATATAATATTTTCTCAAGCGTGGAATGTGCAAACCTAGACACTTCTAAAATAATATTCATGTATAATATTGTCACGTACTCATTCCGATAGTGGTTGTACTCCCGATTTCGAAAATTTTTTTAAATAACTAATATTCACACTTTTATATCCACTGATTATATTTTATTGCCACAGCCCACGAAGTACCTACTTACATAAACCATTATCAAATGAAACGTTATAGAAAATATAACATTTTCATGTATGTCTTTGCTTATTATTCTAATTGTATTGATTTCATATAATAATATTATGCTTTATCGTTTATATAATTATCAGAAATCGTGAACAGATTAATATAAATATTTTTTTAATGTTATTTCTAATATGTCATAAAAAAAACACGTAGTTAACATGATTATATATACATCTATGTATTAATTAAAAATTATCGTTAACCAACACAATTTATGAATTTTAATTTAACGTAATGATGTGTGCGTTTTATCGAAAAAATTATCTACATACTTAAGTGTCTAGTGCAGCCTTATCTCATAACCACACTATCGTTTTTCTTATTAGAAGTTTCTTTTAAGATGTGTTAACTATTTTAACTCTTGGACTAACTTAAAACTTAATAAAAATAACTAGGTGTTAACGTTACCTACATTATAAATAGGCTACGTATATATCGATGTATAGGTAAAATTAAATTAAAAATTGGTACATAAACAATAATTAATACACTTCAAACAAATTAGGTAGATTTTGTTCTTTGCATTTTATCAAATAATATAAAATTTACTTGTATTCAATTAAATTTGAAAGATTGCATTTAACTATTTAAGTACTAAACACATCGTGTCTGTCAAATATCAAGTCCCTGCCACTTATTCATTCTCTATTATTTTATTTCGATAGGTTTAAATCTTTCATTCAAACAACACATACCTTAACTCCCATTTTTTTTCTTCATAATAGTTCTTTGAAAATTGGCTTTTCGATTTAAATGTGCTGATTTGATTATTAAATCTTATACAATTCAAAATAATATATTATGTTTATCAATGCAACACAGATATATATATTTAAAGTAGTATTTTAAGTACAGTTATTAAAAAACGCAATACTAATAAATAATAATTATTTTCTCTTCACCTATAGAAATTAACGACTAATAACCTTTCAATTGTAATATGTACCTACTTAATATTTTCAGGATTGCAATAAGGATCGCGTTCTGTCATGTGATGATTATGTTCGATTACATTATTTCGGAGAGGCAAATTGTGAAAGACCAATCTCATCACTTCCATACTATAGAGTTTTTAGAAATTGTATTTCATCTTAATTTAAATTTTATTATAACGCTGTTTGATTTTATATAGAATACATAAAAATTTATAGAAATAAGAATATAATATTATATAATATACCATCATCAATTGATAAGTGATGTAATTTATTAAATTTAATGTCTTTTCATTTTGATATTTTGTTTAATGATCGCCTAGAAACAATTTTACAAATATCAATAAAAACTAATGTGATGTATTTGACTAAATAAATACAATTTATAAAATTAACTCCGTCGTTTAAATTGTGTATAAAAGGAATAATGTCTTACCACTATGACGAGAATGAATTACTTAGATCCCTAGGGGTATCTTCGGATGGCCTGGTAAATAGCACATCAAGATATTGATATGACATTATTTTGAGTATAATTTTAGTTACAAATATATTATATTATTTTTTGAATTTGTATAGCAAAAAGAATCTTCAAATCCAGTCGTATGCAAAAAAAAGAAGACAACAACGCCATACGACCGTTACATGAAAACGTGTCGAAGGATTCGCATGGAAATGTTGAGTAGACCTATGTGTCGGAAATTGCGACCATGGCCAAATCCAAAACTCGAGGTCGACTATGATTAATAAATAAAAATGTAAATATCTTTATAATGTCATGTGTAGGGACCTTTTGTGATTTCTCGTGCAGCTCTTAAAGCTAAACTTACAGATAGATTGGCATATTTAGCAATACCAAAAGAAGAAAGCGATAGTTGGAAAAGCTATTACTCGCCAACTGTGTCACGAGGAAACAAAATAAAAATAATTAGTGAGCGATTAAACGCACTGTCCAAGCCTAAACCGTGCATAGACGATATGTAATATACATACAAGATAAATAAACAATAGCAACAATTAATTTTAATACTTATACATTATATTTTTTTTATTCATACTATAAGGGATGAAAACATTGTATCGACACGTTTTAAAAGCAAAAATGAATGGCTCGCTTATATGAAAAAACTCAAAATATTTGGTGCACCCAGACGAACACCGCCAAGCCCCCTGGAGCCAGTAAGATATATGGACTGTTTGATACGTTTTTTTTAACTATGTTTGATCTCTTAATTTGTGTAGAAAAGAAAGAAAAAACCATTAGAAACAATTATGACACGTCTAGAACCGTTGTCCCTACCCCTCAATCGTCCACCGAACATGAATGAAAAGACATATGAAGAATTATACACGGTAACATGACGTACCGGACATGTCGTCTGTTGTGTGACTTATTTAATTTTATTGAGTTACAAAATGGTTTTAGATTAAAAGTGCAGTTTTGAAACATAACGCCAGCGACAGAACTAAAAATCTGGCTGTTGCTAAGCCATTAAATGAAGAGACTTTGATGGATATAAATTACAATCCACTAGACAAACTCGTCAACGCGAAAAAATACATTGGTAACTAATGTCATGATAATATGAAAATCTCTAAAGTTATACTTACTAAATAATAGAAAATGGTTAAAAGTCAAAACGGTTAACTGCATGGTAGGTGGGTAGCTATTTTACTTCATATTATAAGGTCACAAATATAATGCAATTTAAGTATTGATTTCGAACACACCGTATAAATAGCATTTTAAAGCGTAAACAAACAATAGAACAAAATATATTATTAAACATATACATCAATGAAATAATATTCTTATTTCATCGTAATATTAAATATACATATTTTATAAACGTGTATACGACAATAAGTAAGAACATAATGTATTACCTTTATTGAATTTAATAAATTTGGTAGAATAAAAATACTAAACAAAAAATATAAATCTAAAAATTATGAATTAAGCGTTTAAAATATTACAGACAAGTGAGTGGTTTTTTTTTTGTAAATAATATAATATTATTCATATTAATATTATGTACGTATATCAATTATATGTATACGAACCCGTATATTATAATTATTTCAAATCAGAAATATTAAACATGTAATAATAACTATAGCAGGTAGCTAATTTATTCAAATTATATCAGCCTTGAATTATATCTTATAAAATATATAGTAGTTATTAATATTCGTTACAGTTCTCAATATTCCTTCCTTTACACTTATTCCAAAGTGTAACGTTTCCTTGAAAAATCTTTTAGTTTCAGATACTACGCAGAGATACCTACTTTTTATTCCCTCGTGCCATTATAATAATTCCACAAGCAGTAAATGTTTTTACTCAAAAGATAATGTTAATTGGTTAAGATTACAATTTTTCAAAGGCTCTGATCAAGGTCCTATATTATTACGGAAGCGATGAGATCACTAAACCTAAATATTACTGGTGGTTTAATAGTACCTTTTTTCGTAATTCTGTTTCAATTGTTTAAAATATTATAATATTATGTGTCTTACGATACGGTTTTCTACACTTACTACACATGTGTATATTGTGTAACGTAACAATACCGAGCAAGTGTTCTTTCTCGGTCTGCCAACACCGATATTGTTATAAAAAATAAAAATAATAAAACATAATATGGCAGTTATTAAGACTTTTGTTTGGTGTTGGTTTCAAATGAATAGAATTATCGTACAATCGAATAGTTATTATTTTAAATCTCGATAAAATATCTTTGGTACGATTTTTTTTTTTTTTTAAACAGACAATAAATTGTATGAAAACATGTTTTATTTTTTCCATACGCACTGCAGCTACGGATAGGATCAAAGAACTGTCGATGCCAAAAGTGAGGGAAACTCCAAAAACGTTTGATGTTAAAGCGGACGCATTTTCAGTCAATCCGAATGCATTAAAAGCTTGGTGTTCGCCGAGAATAAAACGATTGGCCAGACCCATCATAAGAGATTAAAAACCAAACAACCATACGAATATACAGCCAATGTTTTTTCGTACTATCTAAAATAATAAACTACACACACACAGACTTTGTTGGTTTAGTACAATATTATTGCTATATTGTCTTGCAAACGTATATTGCAATAATTCGTAAAATAATATTTTAAAAGTACATACAGGTTGTAACAAAAATAGCTGATGATTGTAGTCGAATAATTATTATATTAATATGTAGTAGATAACTTTTAAACTTGGCAATTTACATTTTTTTATAATTTAGAAACATTATGAATTCCTATTAATAATTAAAATATTAAAAAAAAATGATAAGAACAAAAGTGATTACACACTTGGTAAATTACATCTGTATCTATCTGTTACTTCTAACACCCTGTACACACATGGATTAAAAATGTAGAAATTGCCCGATTATTGATACCCGGATACTAAACGATATTTTATGTTACTTATATAAAACCTATAACTGAGATATAATAATATATAAAGAAAATTTTTGCTGAATACCGTGAACGATATTAAATAATATCAGCATAGGTCATTATTTATTAACTATCATTAATAATATAATTAACAATAAATAGTAATAATATACTGATAACTATATTATAATGTTCTATAAAACATTTTTAAAATAGAAAAATTCAAAATAAGTAAAAAAAACCTTTAGGGAAAAAGAAAATTTAAAATTAAAAACTGTGTAAAGGTCCCCCCCACACACTCCAGCGGTGGAGGTATAAAGCCAAGACAATGGAATTTTACGCCACCGCCATCTTTATAGCGAAACAAATTTTTTTTGGTAATTTAAAGTAAAATGTCCAAACTACCGAAACCAACACGATAACTTCATAATAAAGCTATATTTAGATACCTATCTACTTATATATCAGTATTTTATCTATTATAGGCACAATAATATATACTATGTTAATATTTCTATTAAATTAAATCTGCGGGGCGATGGCGGCGAAGCTATTATATGTACATTTTGTTAATTTTTGAATTATCATTTATAATTAGTTTAGAAATCGTATACTTCAAGTGGTTGCAAAATATGATATATGTCTATTACGTGTGTGGCGCCGTATAATACGTGCAAAGACCAAAACTGATATGTAATTTTTTTGAAAATATATGCGTAAGTTCAGAAAATGTACATATCAGCCATCATTCCGCAGTAAATATTATTGTAATAAGTATAGGTACGTACGACTTGGAATTCCATTTTATTACCTCCCCGATATTGTCATCGGTTATAATTTTATCGGCTCGTCCGTATATAGTTAAATTCGCACACAGTCACGTGAAGATCGATCGATCGTAAATCGCAGATAAAAAGAAATTTAATAGAAATATAAATAAATAAATAATCAGCACAATTCGAAAAATCACTTAACTCCAAAACTGCGATTTGGAAATTATTAGTGATTAAAATAAGAAAAAAACAAAGACGAGACGTTTAAAACCATAATCGTTTCAATCCGATAATTATTTATTCCATGAAACAGCTGTTAAAGAGTAAATAAAACAAAATAGAAAATGTCGCAACTCCGAAAAAACTTTGTTTTTTTTTTTGAAGAATTTTAAATTATAATCTAATACTATAAAATACTTTATAATATACCTACTTTATAATTATCAAAGAGATAAACATAAAAATATTATAAAATATAATTTAGAAAATTATTTTAAGTCTTAAATTTTTTTTTTTAAATTAATTAGACGGCTTTCCTTTCTCCTGAAAACTGTTCAATATGGAGTTAATACTTAATAGTGATTTGCGAATCAGGCCGACTATAATATTATAGTGTATAATATTATTTGGCGTCTGGGTAAAATGTTTCGTGCATATTCTTTGTACGTACGACTTGGAATTAAATCTCATTGTGAGCCTGATATTGTCGAGAGTATCATCGGTTCTATATTATAATCGGCTCGTCCGTATATAGTTTAAATCGCAGTCACGACTAGTGATGATGGGCAAATTCCCGGGAATAAAATAAGTTTTTAAATATTGATCATAGGTTTCACTGGTTTCAGCTTTAAATCAAACTAATGGTTGTAAATGATCCAAATGACAGCTCATTATTGATATTATGTCAGTTTAGATATCTATTCTTTAAAAAAAAGTTATTAAGTAAAAATAATTAAATTTTTTAGATAAAATCTGTACAATG